CGATATGTTCATATTTGACCGTTTTTGATTAATTAGAACATGTGAGACTTTATATCTAACTTCTTCTGCGATATCCTGCTGGATTAGTTTTAGTGCCGGTTCTAATGACGGTGCGATTTCGAGTATGGTCATTGGTGGGCGATTTAAATTAAAGTTTAATCCTTTGGATAAAAGTGAATTTCCCTCATTTGTGAGGACCCGGTCGGATACACTACATACTACTTTGAGATTAGATGATTTGCTATGTTGCATAATATTTCGTTTGTTAGGGTTTGGACTTAGAATATTGAATTTCCTTATTTACCTTAATTTGGCTTTTTTCATAAAATAATTCTGACGTAATTCCCAAATCCTTGACATTTGAAGTTCGTTTGAAATCTCATCGTTCACTTATTGCAGTAAAATCCGCCACAAAAACTTTTTTGCGGGAAAGAACACATGAAAGCTTAATATCGTATCGGAATCGTATAAAAAACTTTGATGATGGCATAAGATTTCTTTTTCCGGAAACCTTACATAATGTATTATTTGACTTCACGAACGGAAAACAGGATTATTTTACGAAAAAAGCCAAATTAAGGTAAATAAGGAAATTCAATATTCTAAGTCCAAACCCTAACAAACGAAATATTATGCAACATAGCAAATCATCTAATCTCAAAGTAGTATGTAGTGTATCCGACCGGGTCCTCACAAATGAGGGAAATTCACTTTTATCCAAAGGATTAAACTTTAATTTAAATCGCCCACCAATGACCATACTCGAAATCGCACCGTCATTAGAACCGGCACTAAAACTAATCCAGCAGGATATCGCAGAAGAAGTTAGATATAAAGTCTCACATGTTCTAATTAATCAAAAACGGTCAAATATGAACATATCGATAAATAAGGAACGCGCTCTTCGCTCTTTAAAAAATGATAAGAGCGTACGGATTATGAAAGCTGACAAAGGAAACATAACCGTTATCATGAATACATCAGACAATGAACAAAGGGTTACAGAGCATTTATCCAGTGGACCTTATGAAATGATGGAAAACAAGAAGCGTGAGCCTGCACTTAACAAGGTAAAACTGCAGATTAACAAATTGCTATACAATCTGAAATCGAAATTAGGCAATGCCTTGTGGTTTAATTTAGCACCAAAAAGTTGTGTTGCTTCACGCTTCTATGGCCTTCCCAAAATTTACAAACCCAATTTTCCGATTCGTCCAATTGTGGATTTTACGAATCCCCCAACATACAACCTTGCAAAGTACCTCACAAAAATCCTTAAACCATTACAAGACAACTTGGTAAGTATCATTAAAAATTCATTAGACTTCATACATAAATTATTACAAACAACGATTGAAGATGATGAAACAATGGTTAGCTTTGACGTTGTTTCTCTGTATACAAATATTCCGATTGATGAAAGCATACAAGTTGTTAGATTTTTATTAGAGTCAGATACTTCTTTATCACTTAGATGTAATATTTCCATCAGTGAAATCTGTGATGCACTGAGATTATGTCTGACCTCAACCTATTTTACTTTTCGAGGGGACCTTTATCGTTAAACCAGTGGGGTAGTAATGGGTTCACCTGTCTCATCCATTGTACCTAATCTATGCATGCACAAAGTAGAATCAGGCCTACTTAGCCAACATAATTTAAAACCAAGAGTATAGTGGGGGTATGTTGATGACACCTTCGTCATAACCAAAAAGCAAGGATTAGAAAATCTTTTTGAATACCTTAACAGTCGTTTCAATTCTGTAAAATTCACATGTGAACTAGAAACAGAATTCAGAACGTTAGCTTTCCTAGACTGCAAGGCGACACGAAACAATGATGGGACACTTGACATTGATGTCCATAGAAAAGATACACATTCTAACAAGTACCTTGACTTTGGTTCGGCTCATCCATTGGAAACTAAGTTAAACGTTGACAAAAATCTGTTGACGAGACCACAAAGGATACCAAATAAAGTGGAATCTCACCAGGCAGATAGGCAACTTGCTCGGGAAGTCTTAAAACAAAATAACTATCCAAACAAACCATTAAAAAGGATCGAAAAAAGTACGAAAAAGCCAAGCCATAAAGATTGGATAAGTACTATAGTACTTCCTTACCGAACATCCACTTCAGAGGATATAAGACGTATCCTTAATAGTTACAACATTAGAGTATTCTCTAAGATGACGAATACACTACACTCACACCTGTGTAAATTAAAAGGTCCGATTCCTCATTTGGAACAACAAAACTGTGTTTATAAGGTAGACTGTAGTGGATGCGATGCCACATACATTGGAGAGACATCACGTCAAGTACTAACACGTCTAGCCGAACACGGTCAAAGTTCCAAAAACCACCAAAAAATTCCTATGATCTAGAAAAACTTGAAAAGAGCTCTGCTATCGCTGCTCATGCCCTATATTCAGGTCATAAAATATCATTCGAACAGACGAAAGTTCTGCGAAAGGGTTTTCTTTCTCACAAAGAGCAGATCATTGCAGAAGCTTTGCACATCTGTTCATATCCTTCTTCAGTCGACGGGAAAGATGGGTTAGACATCCCACTAATATGGCAAGCATTAATGACTCGCCTAGGCAGTTGTAAATAATACATGAAGAGAAGGTAGAACACAATTTCATTCCACATGATTTATTCCAAATTCACTCTTGTTTGAATAGTTTCCGGTGTTATTTCTCTTAATCGTCTTAACCACGAGGAAAAAGGGAAAAAGAAATATTGGTTGTATTTTAACAGCTTGTCTAGTCCTATTAGATGACACTTTATTGATCTACTATTTTCATCAATTTTACGCTGCTTTCTGAGCTATACACATTCGATGAACCATAACATAATCCATTTTGTTATCACTCATACTTCAAGTGTTATCAAAAGTACATTTATCATTATTATTATTATTATGATTATTATTATTTATTTATCATATATTGTCTCATCTTCAAATATCCATCCTTCCAAACTAGTAATCTATTCTTTCCCACCCTTGATGTCTCACAACCCCATTGTACTTTCCGTAGACGAACTAAAAAATTTTCCCCACCCTATTTTTGTCCCAACTTACTCGCACAACGAAAAAACCTCTCTGACCGGGTTGCTTATCCACTCACCTGTATTACGTCGATATTTGCTCCATATCACTATGTAATTGGAGGATTGTAAAGGTCACCACTTTCTGTACCAAAACTTGAATATTAACCTGAAAATTTAATGTCAGATTCATACTCTTGAAAAGGATCTTCCTAGCAAGATCGAAACGTTGAGGAATAATACAAAATATTTGTTTATTTTGTTATTTGTTCTAATACACTACGCCGGGATTCCACAAGAATAATACATGTTTTAGGGTTAATCATGTGAACTCTGAACCAGTGGTTTGCGAAACCATCCAGTAGATTTTTGTTGAGGATACCTTCAAATGAAAAACAGTGTTCTGTCTTGATAAGTGTTCAGCTATTTTGCCATTCGTAGGAGCCTCGTCACTATGATCACTGGTCTGTTTTCTAAACGGTTTCATAGTTGTATGTTTTCCATATCAATTTAGAATATATGCGAGTGCTCGAAATAGTGCCATTTTACTGTTTATACAAGTTCTTCAGGAGCGGCAATCTTCACAAACTCTTTCCAGCGATAAATGATAGTAATAAGGTATATTATCTATCACCGTGATGAGTTCAGTGGACACTACGCTAGACATTAACCTCATGCATAAAGTTGGTGCACGTTCGAAGTACTTGGTTGTCGGAGCAAAGTTGTAGCAAGCGATTTCCGTCATCTATTCGTTTAGTTCCAAAGTGCAACATGAGTAACTTTTTTTGGTTATTTATCTACGTGGTTTGAAACCACAATTTACGGCAACTATATCTGAGGGTTTGACTTTCAGTATGAGGATACATAGTTTTTGGTAGTACTCATCCTTTTCTTCATTTGAACTGTCATTTGTTGGTGCGTGGGGAGGGATTACACAGGGAATGGTGAGTTTTACCATTTTGCTTATTCCTAACTGTGCTTTCCAGTAGGACTGCGTACAGGTGACTAAAAACTAGAAAATAGTCAAGCGATGCACTTTGATGCTTACTTTTAATTGTCAAACTCAAGCTAGCGAATACTTCAGATGGGGGTCAGAAACATAATGAAGAGGTGTGCAGTGTTTTAAGGGCTCATTTATGTTAGTATTACAGTGTGCGTAGTTCTGTTTTAGGTAGTCACAGGGCTGAATGCATTTGTCACACTCATTTTAAATTCAAGCAGGAGAGTTTGATCAAAAACCAAGATCAGTTCTTGGGTCTTATCAAGCAACTACATTAAATGTGAACTATCTCTGTTTCCCATTCACAAGTCATGAAACACTAAGTATTCTCATTGACCGGGATGTTCACAACCAGTTACAGTCGTCATAACGGCTGCTTAAAGATGGCGAAATCATACAGTTCCACGTATATGCTTAACAGGCATACAGGAAACACTAAACAGTAGGTGGAATTCTATCGGTAACCCTACGTAGGCTGGGGTATATGCTAACCAGTTAACATTTTCGTGGGGAAACTAAGGTCCACTTCCAGAACATGAGGCAAACTGAGACGCAGGGTCATTAACAGAACAGGAAAAAATCGTGAAAACGAGGGGTTATCCACAGGGACAAAATAAAACAGATACAACTTACGGCCGCGTTGCAATACCTTGAATTTTCAACGCAATTTGTCCTCATGGCTCCTCGTTTTGCTACGCGAAAATATTGAGTGGGGTTAGGTTATAAAGTGTCATAAACAAATTTAAGGTAGTTCCACCCAGTCTGGGTACCTCTTTGCATAGCGGAAAATGAAGCTAAGGATTACTAACCATAATAAAAGTGTTTTGTGTCTGCTATTCTTAAATCTGGTGCAATTAGATCGGGAGCTTTCCCAGACAACCCAAGAATGTAGTAAGGAATGCAAACCGATAACTCACAAAGCATAAAAAATACACACTTCTATTACCGAAAATGGCCTGATACTTAACCTTGAAAAGTTGCGCAAGCTTCACAAATGAAACTGTAACTTCATCTCCGTATTTTGGGCTTCCACTAACATTCAATGTCCTATGTCAGTTATCGGTTCATGGGACTAAGCCATCCGTACTTGTCACTAGAGAATATAAACCTGAGGTGGTATAACTGCGGTTGGGAACTTTTGCCGTCAATGTCTTAAGCTAAGGTTGAAGCGTTTTAACGTGAAAGACATGAAAGACTTGCGGGTGTTTTCTCTCGCTTTTATCTTATTTAGCTATTTTCAACATTGTATTGTGTCGTACCCTTCTCGATTTTCAATGCCACCACCCGTATATGATTAATATTTCTTCTTAGCCACCATAAACTGCATTTTTTCGTGGCGTAAAAAGATTACACCTTATTCCACCGTTAAAAACTTCTGTGGCAGTAAATAATCCTCCAACATCAGTGGCCTAAGATTAAGCAATTTTCTACATCGATACTGACCTTCATAGGTTTTGTCAACGTGTTTAGCGGACAGCACACATTCAAGCATACAAGCCATTCGCTGCTTTCTCGTGCTACGTTGCGTTGTTCCTTCATTATCTAACCAGATCTCATGCATATCGGCATTTTATTACGATTTGTACGAAATTGCGATTCAAACCTATCCACAGGACCACATTCTTATCTGTGCTGATACTTGCGAATATTTAATAAGCATGAATAATTACTCGCTTTTATTCGTGAAAAGTGTGTGCACTGTGGAGAGAATCAGTCTGTTATAAACATATTTGTGATGAATATTTGCAATCAGTGATAATCGTTCTGTTTTCGGCAGTATTTTGAGCCCAAGCACTGTCAGTAACCACACCACCCATCGGAATTATTTACAACTTTGTGAAAATACTACCGAAATGACAAACAGAATCATGTGTAAATGTCTAACCGTTGACCACCTTGTGAGAGAATTTGTGTTCCACCAGTAGTTTATTCAGCCATGTCTTTTTGACATCGTGTGATGACGTCTTAGATAATCCGTCCTAGAAGGAGCAAACGGATTAGACATCTAATATCCAATACTGATGGTGCGAGTGCAGAAAACTAATAGTTTTTGATCTTTCTCATCTACTTACTAGAGCTTGGTTCGAGTTGTTCGGTTCACTCCTGCATTGGGCGAGGAAATCCCCTCCGCTTTCTTGCTCTTAACCTCGGTGAGGTGAATGTTTTATGGGTTAGTGAGTTGTAACCTCTAGAGTGATTGGGGAGCTGCAGGTCGCTGGGACGGTTAAGGGACTGTCGTGACTCCTGTCTGTGTGGGTGCATAAAAGGGAATAGTGAGTTAGTGGTAATAATGGAAAGAATGAAGAGGAAAAAAGAAAACAGGGGAAAAGAAGAAGGAAAGAAAAGGAGGGGGTAAAGAAGGGAAATCAAAGAGAAAGAAAAGTGTGCGGGCATTGCCTGAATGGTAGAAATAGATAGCATGGGTTTAGCTCCTACAGAAGTAGTTGGTAATGTGGGTGTATTAAGCAGCGAGACAGTGAGTGATGGGCTAGTGAGGTTGGTGACTCCCTGAGTACGTCCGTGGTAGACCGTGCCAGGTGACATAACTGTCTAACCGTCTAATGAATGAGTCGACCGAGGGAGCTATAACGATATGTCGCGGTAAGGCATTCCACCAAGCACATACTCTCAGGGAGAAACATTTGGACCTGAGTACGGTGTGCTGCCCTGATGGGATTTCCCTGTGAAGACCGCTGAGTTGCAATAAAAATTGATTTTTCTTCGTGGTTAGCCCGATGAGCGGTCTTGTATGACATAATAAGGTCACCACTGTTCTTACGATAACTCAAAGTAAATAGGTTTAGGTGTTTAAGCCCTTCAGGACATGCCTTTCCCCTTGGCCCCACTACTGATTTTGCTGCAGTTCTTTGTATTTTTTCAGAGAGATTAGAATCTCTCTTGAGAGTTGGGGGGCACCTTATGGATGACCTCTAGATGCGGCCACAAGTGGAATTTGAAGGCGGTGAGGAAGAGTTCGGGGGTGAGGGCACCAAGTTGTCTACGCAAAAAGTGCAGAACGGCAGTCGCTCCGATTGTCGTACCTTTGTGGTTAGGGTTGCTGTTCAAGGTGTCGGAGAAGTCGACACAATTAATTATTCATGCTTCGATTCGCTAATGTAAGATTTCCCCTTTTCCTGCCATAAGATAAAGGTAAAAGTTTCAAGTTTTCCAAACCTTTTTCATGGGACAGACTCGAAAATCTTTTCACGAACTTATTAGCCACTCTTTCTACTCTTTCTGGGGTGTCTGCTTCTTGTTTGAGGCAGGGGCTAGCTGATCGTGTGCAAATTTTGAGGTCATGTTGCGCTTAAGTAGGACAAGTGATCCTAAATATTCCTTCGTCACATCACTCACAGGCCTTCAGAACTGAAAATAGCATACGGTACTCTATGGCTACAAACGCGTTACAGTTTGCCATCGCTTTCGAATTATAGCCGTTAAAAAATCCCCATATCTGCTTGTCCTCTGATGTAAGGCAGAAGTGACCCCTCTGATGTTGAGGTTACTTCAACTGATGACCGGTATGCCTCACTCCAATGCTGGGGTTGATTTCCAGGCTCCATGATCTAGGCCACTTACTCAACTCATCTAAATCGAAACAGAGCGCTATCTTGTCATCATTGTAGTGGACAACGCCTTAAACCATGACATCACCTGCAAACTATAAGAATGACAACTGAGGCACGCCTTGTAATTCACCATGACAGAACAGGGGCCAGTGAAGCCCTGACAGACTGTTCCGGGGAATCCGACTCGTTGCCGGCTTTTAGACGTGTAATACTTCACTTGTCCTAACTTTTCCCTCCAACCATCCAGGTAGTGCCTAGGCCTCTCACGCATGTTGGTGACCGTGCCAAAACGAAAGAACTTCGTCAGTAAGCTCAAGTAGGAAACCTTTTCAGGCGCCAACCCATCCACTCCGCTTCTGGGCTTATCAAATGCCTCACTAGAATCAATAACCACCACACCAATGATCACTTTCTGATACCCCTTCCTTCCATCTTTATTCTTCCCCCGCTGAGACCAAGTTCGTCGGGCAGAAGCTTTCCAGTCGGACGCCATGTCGTTCCTTTGACAACAATCCACGTATTTCCACGCAGCCCAGTGGTTTGCCAATGGGCAGTTTCTGCAAAGCGCTGCAAGTCAAACTGACTGGATGAGGGTTAGTAACCAGCTCTCGGCCGCCATCTCCTAAAATCCGGCACACAAATGCATTCCCCTACTCTACGGGTAACTGAGCTTGGGACGAGGAAAGATAGAATATTCCGATTGGCGATTTTCAGACAACGTCAGCCAGGGCCAGTAACATTTTGGGTGTAAACCATCGGGACATAAAGACTTGACAAGTTTCAGAGCATCTAGCAGCCTTAAGCAAAGCATCGCTGTCCGTCGAAATACGAGCCGTTTGTAAGAACTCAACTGGGGCCGTACTTGTACCTACCTGCATCTGCCGAAAAGATCCCACTCAGGTGATTTGGTATGGTGGCGGCTTTCTCCCTGTCCGATTATGCCAAGTCCTCTAAGTCGTCTCTAGGGTGCATATTGGATATCCCATCATGCCTTCTGGGCTTGCACGCGGTAAACGATCGAAGCCCATTTGTACAAGCAACACAATCACATTAATTAATCTTCGTATTCATTGCGGAGTTTAGTGATGAGAGACTCATAGAGGTTTCGAATTTTGCAATGCCCTGACTTAAACGAAACACTACCTGTTCCCATGGATAGATCATGTGACAGAAAGTTGGATGGTGTAAAGTAAATAGATATACACATTCATTCCCCCTAGTAACTCTGCAGTTTTCTTTAGAGTTTAGTTCAGATTGCAGCGAGACAAATTGTATATTTTTGTTTATAACTGAGTGGTCAAGAGGATTATGCTTATAAAAGTGGCATGCAGTTATGTATAGTAGGCTGCATAAGAGTGATGAAAATAATGGCATTTATTCCTAAATATACGGGCGAACTCCACTTTTACGGGCATGGATATAGAACAAACACTATTGGCACTGCTGAAGCTAATTTTACCAAGTATGCTAATGACCTGACCATAAGTATTCGTTCCTTTAAATATTCTAGCCAATCATGTGTAGCTGTCCCCGTCACTAATATTAGTTGCGCAACTTAAAATGTCGTGATTAACACGATTCCAAACGTTGTGTGGGAGTGCGCTTTCGTCGCAATATTACATACCCAGAATTCCAACTTGCATAGAAAGTTCTTTTGGGAGAGTGAGTATGATCGTGATTTTGCTGCCGAATGGCCACCAGATGGGATGACACACGATGATAAAGTGCAAAACATCTTAATTCAAGACTTTAGAGCCGTAGAAGCTGTTTTTCAGACAGGCATAGCCCCTTAGTATTTTTATCTAAGTATGTAGCATTCTATTTGATCTAGCAAATGCTGGGAATAGGTGGTTGAAAAATCTCAACTTTTCCAGTCTAATCGATAAGGTCAACATACACAGCTGAATGGAGGATTGCCCAAGCAACCTGGACAGCCTGTGGCAGTTTCAAAAAGTCTTCGCTGGGAAAGACTTGCACAGAACCCCAGGCGGGCATCTGCTTCGTGTGGCATTGCAGGCATGTTGTTAAATGAACTGTTGTGAATTTCTGTGTTGCTAGATGGGTATTCCGGGCGCTAGCTACCCATGAAGTCACTTTTCTCCAAAACAACTGTCCTGAGTGGCCACATATCAGAATTGAGCAGGTAATTTGTGCCGACTCCCTTAAATTCCAACGGCATTCGTCGTATGACTGCAAGGAAATGAAAGTGGGCATCAGAGAAACGCTGCTGTGTAACATAAGCTTCAACAATGAGAAACGCTGTTTGACCAGGATCACGTGACCTGAATCTAGCGGTTTGTCGTCTTGGTGCATTTCAAATTCAAAGATTGGTCACGCATGGAAGTTATTCACGGTGTCTTCGGAGGTGAGTCTATAGGAAGTGCCCTCCTCAGTTTCGCATGCACATCTTGGACTCACGGATAAACTGTTTGGCCAGGTATAAACGATCAAGCGAAGGGTGTATGAAGGTAAGCCGAAGTGAAGTTGTTTTCCTTTGTGCGCCATGTCCTTTCACTGCATCTAACCCTTGATTTCTCTGCCACCGTTAAAAACATTTTTTCATAGTTCTGTCATGCCAGTACAAAACGGTAGATCTGTGGTACTGACGCAGACATCGTGATCTTCCACCAGGAAGGACAATGACCCTCGAGACAACAAAAATGTGGACAAACCGTTAAATCCTAGAGATCAACCCAGTTATTGACTTCAAAGGTAAACAGTTTCCAACATCGCTACGCAACAGCCTTCTCTAGTACTTCGTATGACATCGAATACGCCTCCTTAATAAGGCTGCATAACTCAACGTGAATAATGTGTGAAACACATTGATCTACAGTTCTTCAGGTGTTTATTCAGTTGCACCGCAACATTGCTGTATCTTCTTCACCAGCTGTTTTATGTTCCGAACGAATACATTATGCACGTTTAACTGGCAGCTAACTTCACACGCAAGAGCCACCGTCTGCAACCAGGGGACGAATAGAGAGAAGACCAGAGCTAGATAAGGGGAGAGTTTATTCCTTCGAGAGAAAAATAATCCAGCCAAAAACACACGAACACGTATGGTTTTGTTCGCAGTTTGAGACAGTGGAATAGTAAGAGCAAAGATTAACCGATCAGCGAATTACATAACGACGGGGACGGAAAGTAAACTACTAATCATGCCGTAAAATGGTGTGAGAATGCCAAATCGAAAATGTTCAGACGGATAACAATGGTTTATGCGTAACTTAGGCCTCACATCACCTCCCCCTTTTGGAAAAAATTTAACACCTTCGTTTGTTGGGATCCAGTTGAAGACAACCTGTTTGAGACCACCCACGGTCCGTACATCTTTTGTGTAGGGGCTCCTTGGCGGCATTGGTTTTGGGTTTTTTCATCGTCATTGGTAACTTATATCCAGCAGGATATCGAGTGGTACGATTGGATTCCCTAGTTGTCTGGCTTTTCTGTGACGCATCTGGTTTTTGTGTCTCTTCCATCTCTCCTGACCCACCGTTATATCGTGCATCACACTCCCACGTTTTCCCATGACAACATCCATCCACACGCCTGTACTGTTCTGTAATCACGTACTTAGACGTAGTCACATTTGTTGAAGTGTCGTACAACTGTTTGCGTTGTTTGTGTACGACGTGGTGGTAGCACTGCATGATGTGACGTATCTAACTTCCTTCCCATTAGAACCTCTGCAGGAGATTTGAGATCTGGTAGGGCGTCATCTGGCGTTGAGCGATAGATGAGTAGAAATTGTCGTATGATATCCCTGTCTCCTCCTCCTCTTTCTGCCGTAAAGAGAGCTCGCTTAAAGGTACCAACATATCTTCCCGCCTGGCCATTGGATTGCGGATGGTATGGTGGTGTAAGAATGTGATGGATTACGCCCACGCTGCAAAACTTGGCAAATTCATGGCAGGTGAATTGTGACCCGTTACCTTAACCAATGGTCTCAGGAGATCCCCAAAAGATGAAAATATTTTTAAGAGCAGTGGTTGTTCGGCCTGTTGATACAGGCGATACTGCAACGATCTTCAGAGACTTGAGATAAGCATCAACAGCAATCAGGGAGTAGGTTCCATGCAATGGACCTGGGAAAACGATGTGGGTTTTAGACCGGTCGATCTGGCAATGGCCAATTCTTTGGTGAAAGACGTGGAGGATTCCTGGCTGCCTTTTGATACAGCGCGTAGTGACCGACAAATTCAGCTATATCAGAATCCATATTGGGCCAATAAGCATGGCTTTCATACATTCTATTCCTCGATGACGAGTGTGAAACCGTTTAGAGAGTTTCGCATGAAGTGGCTGAGGGATCACTTCGCATTCTCTGAACACGAGGCGGTTGCCGAGGTCACAAAGGGATTCTCTTCTGCAGATCGGTTGTTTCAGATCACCGGCAAACGATTTTTGCTGCCATTTCGTCTGGACATAATGCATGACTTTCTGTATGATATGGTCCTTGCAGGATTCATTTTCCACCTGATCTGATGTGATATGAGGTGCGCAGATGAGGTAGATGGTTAACTTCATAACCTCTTGTGGATACTACTGGGGTCGCTGTGTCTTCGTTAGGTGTAGGAACATCTGACTCTGCTTGCACTTTGTTGCAGACCATATTCAATGGAAAGTCGGCTAGTTTCAAACTCTCGAGCCAGTCAAGACCCAAAAGGCTGAGATTTGCATCAGTTATGCAACAAAATCCATCAAAAGAAGTATTGCGAAATGAAACACAGCAGTGTAAATGACCAAACAGTTGAAGCTTACCGCCACATGCACTGATAGCTGCTTGTCACGTTGCCAGAAGTTTTGACCAACCAAGGCTGGACAGTAATTCCCGGAAAATCAGTGTGATATCGGAAGCTGTATCTACTTGGAGACATGCCAGTTGACTATTTATGTTGAGCACTACTGATGTTGGACTATAAAGTGCGCTCTGGTAGAGTTGTAACGTTACTATCTTTGGTAAGACATTTATAGATGTGTTCGTAAGGATTCTGCATTATGGATTTTGTTGTTGAATATATTTTTGAATACTGGTCGGCGGTAGTGTAGAGATTTTGTATTTTTGAGCAACGTAAAGGAGACAGGTTTTATTTTCAGCACCCACTTCCTAAATTGAGTCAGTGATACCTGTCTTATGATGCTCATGTTTCTAGATATTTATTTCCTATTTCTGGGCTCTTAAAATCAGAGTTTTCCATACCTTTATTTGTCGCTCTGGAAATTTTGCAGTTTTCGAAAGTTGTGAAACCATGGTTAATGATGAAGTCTAATTCACGTAGTCCTAAGGCAGAGAGTAGTGGTTTACCATCAATAGATTACTGAAAACAATTGCTATGATCAGTGTGCATTATTGAAGTTTTACTTAAGTTGATTTCCAGGTACCAACCTTTGGACCAACCTACTGGTTTACCCTAATCTACTTGAAGTGCATACTTGTCAGCATCACTTCACATGACTCCAGACTTTTTGTATCATTGGAAAATATGAGCACAAGAGGATTTATCGGTTGAGACAATTGGTGAACATGGCATTAAAAAGATGGGGCGTAGGACTGTTCTTTGAGTAACTTCCCTCATTACAGGTTTCCACTTGACAGAATTCTATTACTCCCCACTATCTTTTATCGTACAGGATGTCCCTAATACATACTTGAAAAGTAGCACTAAACTCGAAAGTGGAGGTTTCACAGAAATTTCACATGAAAGACCTTGTCGGAAGCCTTACTTAAGTCTGTGAACATGGCGTCTAACATCCGTTTGCTTTCACGAGTTGCAATCCATTCCTCTCTCGCAATAAAGTGGTTCGTTAAACACGAGTGTCCTCTAAGCAAACCATGTTGTTGCAGCATCAAAAGATTATTTGGTTCAATTTGGTAAAACACCTCATCCGAAATTATTTTTTCGAAGGCCCTAGTGACTACACTAGTTGGACTTACAGAGCAATATTTTAAATACTAATAGACTGTTACTGTCCGCAAAAACTCGGTTGATTATGGCATCTTTCCAGTCTAGGGCGGCAAATCTTGGATAAGGACATTGAAAACACCAGTAACTAAGCAACAATGCCCGCTAGCGAAGGAAGAAGTCTAAGGCAGAAACTATCGACCTGGTAATTTTCTATGTTTAGGTTTACTAAGCATCCAAAAAGCTGTCTCCTTTGTTATGTGCACCGTACTGATTGGCTGAGCAGTACTGACAATACTGTTGAACACTTCGTTATTTTAACCTAGCGAGAAGACCTCACTAAAGTTTTCCGACAATCCCTCAGCTTTGGATAGATTACATTCTGTCAAACCATCTGACCCCTCACTTATCAACAGACAGAGAATCCCACCTTTTTTTCAATCTTTCTCATGAATCAGAACGGTCTTTTAGGGCAGTTCTGGCAATCAGCTTCTCGTATAAAGTTCGAGATCGTGTTATCAAAGGGCTGCATGGATTATGGACTTAACATTACTTAGTACTAAATGTTTCCCATCCAATTTTTTAAACCAAGTTCCATAAATGTCTCCTTCGTCTTGGTAGATTTTGAGTACCCTTACCAAATCACGGAGCTGTAGTTCATTGGTTTAGAGAAGTGGCTTTCAACCAATGGGTCACTAATCTGAACCCAGCTCCACCTATGGAGGCTTGGGCAGCCAGGTGGTATCATTAGTCGTCACAGTGAGTATTGCCCATTGCCTACTCCACGAATGTGCACAAGGCTGCTAAGTCCATTTCTATCCGACCAAACCACGAGGGCTGATATGAGGGTAATCGTGAGGTTGACCATGGAATAGATGGCGTTTTTATCTCTGATTATAGTTCTAAACATATCCTGGGCCTCCTCGATAGATGATTCCTTATCAATAGTCCAATGTTAACTGGCTGCACAATCCCTTAAACTCGAAATGTCTGTGCGCCACACATTTAATCTAGGGGAAACAGTGTCATACGTTCGAAAACCAAAAGTTAACACTAGATGAGCGCTATCCGCTAACGGGAGAAGTACTGTAAGTTCATAATATCCTCACAATGGTGAGTTGAAACTAAATATTAACGTGTTGTACAAGTTACGTTTCCAACTAAAGCAGATTCTGGTACCGATAAAAGTAGATCATTTTCGAAACAATTGCTTGAGGCTAAGACTGTAAACTCCGTTCAATTAGTGTGTGGAGCGTTCAGATCCTCAACTACTAAGCGTCTATTGCTTTCACTAGTTAGGTATATGAACTAGCACAGAGTCATTTGCAAGGTAAGATGCACTACAGTGAATTACCCCAATAGTACAGAAACCTTGTTATAGTTTCAGCTCACAACTTGCCACTCCGCTTTCATCTGCTTCTGAAGTGACTGGTCGTATGTGGACGTCGTCATAAACAGACAGTAGTATGCCGCCACCCTTGCGACCCACAACCTTATTCGTCTTAACACAGTAAGTGTGTTGGAATCCAAATCAGCTAGTTTTCGGTAACGCCTACTACATTAGGACCCAGTTATTTACTAACGGTGTGGAAATTGGTGTACACTACTTTCACAGTGGTTGAAGAGTCCCATGACCTACCTACACAGGTTTTGGAAGCACTCGTTTCCAAGGCTTCACAACTCTAAAACCCACAATTCTGAGATCACCACCATTCCTTTGTTGGGCTTTAGGTTCTGCGATTGTTTCTTTTCTTTCGTCTGATCCTCTAGATGCCAGTCTGGTCGAGTGCAGATGTCTGAATTCCGTAGTTTGGATGCGTTGTTTAGGAGTACATTCATTCCCCCTTTGTTTCCTAAAAAAACATTTAGAAATCCTACCCCCATCGTTTGTCATCTTTTTCTTCTAAAGTAACTACTTTAGAGATATGTACTTCAAAAGATATTTTGGTAGGATATATATGATGGCCTGTTCGACCAGCTTTAGATGAAGCGTACCAAGTATCGATGGGTCTCCGTCCACAGAATCTTCAACATTCCCGAAGACAGGTAGACAAAATCAAAGTGCAACCTCGCACATAAGTGCATCGGTTCAAGTCGTCACACTTGACAGTAGTTTTTTTGGCTAGTAGCTTTTCAACTTCTTCCCGAATTAGGGTCGACAGAAACTTACAGCAAAGTCGCACAACCAGGCAGAATCTGTTCTACTGCAACTCTCATACGTAGTTAGTGTCAATCTGGTACAAACTTTGTGGAACTAACATCCACATGCATGATATTGCATACCGTCGCCGACTGGGAATTGTCAGTTTGGCCGACTGCAAACACGGTTATCTCTAACCATTTTTTTCATAAGTAATTAGAAGTTCAAGCTAGAACTGGTACCAACCTTAAGCCTTAGTAGACCAAATTAACGAAATGCAAACAACAAGAAAACACTTTCGACAATAGTTACACCCAGAAGTGGTTGAAGAGCTGTACTACAAATGAAAGTACTTAGTCAAAGCTAAACCAGAAGTAGTAGGATCATTGACTTTCAAAGCCGTTTGATTGGCGATATTACGGTTTTCTTGTATGGTTTACAAACCATCTCATATTTTGTGTGTGAACTCTTTGGATTGATATTTTGACGTTGCTCTCTGATCCGTGATTGTCAAACATTAGTTTCATGTTTTTGACCAATGAGTTTTATCTCAATAATGCCGGTCAGCTGATTCGATGTACTCCACGTAGGAGTTGCTTTCAACGTCAGACTAAAATTTTCCCCCCAACATAAACTTCACGACCCATAAACTGAAAAAAATTCTAGCTTATCGTAAAAAACATGTGGGATAAAGAAGAGATTAGCCAGTTATTACATTCTTAAGCAGTACACTTTAAATCAATAGACTTTCTTTTGAACCAGCCCCTTCAATCATGTTGTGCCCTCACCAAGTGGGAATTAACTATCAAGTAAACTAATGTCAATACCGTTGAGATATATACGATTAAAAGCCAAAATATTTTGGACACAAAACCAATGAAAATAGCATCAAAAGTGCTTTTAAAGCCATTCATTGTGCACTGAAACGTACAAAATCCACTTTTTCGAAGTAAATGCTATATTTTTGCACAACAGCTAGATTACTACAAACTATTTATCCCTTGTCTACCACACGTGAGCAACACTACAAAGAAACTCACGGTCGGAAACCTGCGACCTTTTCGTATCTCCTAACCCCGACAACTACTTCTCATAGGTGTATAGTAGTACAGAGCGGGCTACAACGCAGCGTAATCATTTTGAAACAGGTAGGTGGATATGGCGCTGATGACCGAAATAGTGTAAATTGAAAATGCTGAACCAGCCTTGTGAATCCGACCTGAGATTACGTCAACTAACTCATTTGGGCTGATGCGACTTTCCAAGTAAGTGAAGTGACCGACCCGTTCCAAGCTTTCATTCCATATTTTTTAAACTACTAGTTCTTTTAGACTTGTCTGGAATGATCATCTTTTATGTGGCAGGTTCAAAACATAAGCCAAATAATGAAATTCCTGATCGAGACATTCATAAGACTGTATGTTGTTAGCTTTTCTGCCCAACAGAACTACAATGTTTGTATACTACAGATCGGCTCTACGCCCTTCAAGGAGCAACTGAAGATACCTAGGGTTCTACCCATTAGAACATCTCTAACACTTAACGAGGAATGGTGATAATAGACTTACTTGATGAGCATCACTTGTTTTCGTTACTTCAGGTGAAAACTCTACAGGTCCTTACACAGCTGGATGAGTTCAAGTAGAGTTTTGATCAGAATTACATACTTCCTCTATACTCCCTTCACAGTCAGACACTGCCACAACATGCCTCGGTCGAAAATCAAATTCCCTCTTTAAGTCAAGAAATGTGGCAAATAATGAGTAAATATGCTTGTGCTCTGAAACACGCCAAAGGCTGATTTGAGATCCAAATAACCACCAGATGACTATGGACTTGAGGTTTGTAGACACGATGTTAGTCAAATTAGTTCTCCTGTAATCGTCACACGAAAGCTTCCCTCCTTTCCTACGAACCGTCATAATTACCTACTTAGACCAGTTTAGTGTGACTATTTCTAACCCATATGCACCAGCTTTTCAACTGAGTTGAAGGACCGGCATTTGCATTCCATTCAGGTTTGGGTTGCGTGTTGAGCGACTCAATCATATCTGTAGGTCTGTTGAACTGATCTTCACAACGTTACACCTGAGGTTCCAGCTGCCTATCCTCAGGATCATTAAAGACATATCCTTTTGGTCTCATTGACGTTTATCTTTGTCCCTGTTTACTAAATAAGCCTTTGTAGCTACATAGTGTAACCTAAGTGTTGATGTCTTCATCGAGGCTTTTGCCGTCCATTACTTCTCATATTCATTAAGAAGGGTCTTAGTTAATTTACTTTCACTTTTCATCGTGGTCATTAGCTGGAATAAGTCTACTCACATAAATTAGTCGGGATAAGGTTGTCGAAATCTACTGGTATTTGCTAACTTTTGAATGTAGGTTACCAACTTTCTGTTTCTACAGCAGATTAAATCTTATTCCAGAGTTCATCAGGAAGAGAAATGTTGCTTTGTTCAGAGAAATGGCTATTTATCTTCTCTGTAAATGCATAGTTGAATTTTTCGTTCAATGGTCGAGCGCATAGAGGCTTCACCGCTGTTTTTTGCACCCATTAAGGCACAAACATAAACTTGCTCGTAGTTACGTGTGACTATAGTCGAAACAGGTACTGCAGAAAGAGCATCAATCTCTCATCGATGGTTTATAGCAGTGTTATTTGTCCGTGTTCACCGTTGGTTTGGTATCAGCAGACACCATGTGAGGTAGCGTCTCTCTTTATGCTTGAAGTTAGTGCTGGTTAGAAACAAGTGGTTTTCAGAACAAAGTGGTAAGGGATCACCGTTGTCTATCTATTGGTATGAGATGCCCTAGATACCTTTCTGATTGGCTGAGCTTTGAAGTTGCCTGTTTGTATGAAAATACTTGGACGTTTAGTTTATGCAGCAAAATAGGTGACTCTTGGTAAGTTCGTCGTTTTTTATCACCCGGACTTCAGTTGGTGGATCAAAACCACAAATAGTCATTGACGAGTGTTACGGTCTTTTCCAGTTCTCACAGAACTGTTCAGTCAGGCTGCACGTAAGTTGACTGGTTTCCTATCGAGATTTGCGCTCAATGCCATACTTACACTGACGAGTCTACTGGAGTTAGCCATAGGATTTCCGGAAAAACAAAGTAAATTTTCAGATCTTCCGCATTGGTCAAGTGAAGTGGAGAGAACGACCTCATTTGAGACCTGTAATCACATCCATAACTGCCGATTCCAGAGTTTTGGCGAGAGACGCATGTTTTCCGGCCTAAGATAGTGTTTGGACGTAGTGAGCTCTAATGTGAGATTGATAGTGTGTTTGAAACACTAGGGATGGTATTTTGCTGGCTTCATCAGGGTGAACTTGCTGCCATGTTCAGAAAAATACTTAACTATTCCCACTCTGAATACAATCAACGTTCTCGTCTTCCAATTAGGGATACAGACACCACTCCTATTCGATTTCTATACCTAGTATAGCGCGTACTGACAGGTGGTGGTAGTTGAGGCAGGTGATCCGAGAATAACGGCTTCTCTAATGGTGCGTTTTTTCGGGAGATGTTTGGTTTCCGCACAAGTCATTTTCTAAGGAAAATTGGTTAATAAACGATGTCATTGATATCTGTGGCTATTTTGTTTCTTGTGAACATAGGTGTTCTTTACCTGTGTACTGTCGTGAATGAAGTGACGAAGAAAGAGTAGCGGGTTTACCCTGTCTCTAACAGCTATTTTCGAAATTGGGATAAACATTTCTCTCAAGATAAATTGTTTTATCATTCATTTCACGTCCAACCCACTTCATATCTTCACTTTAGGCGTGGATCGATATTCCGTTTGTTATGATAATCCATCTCATTACAGGTCGGTTGTTGTACATTAAAAGTACTTCATACCGTTGCATTCCAGACACTAAGTCTACAATAAGGTTTATCTTTGTGGAGCCGGAAATTTCCGTCATTCTACATTCGAAGTTATTTTATTATTCATAACAGGTGAACTTTCAATTTTTCTTCCCTTTTTTCAACTTTAAGCTATGTTAACAGTTAGTCATGGACGATACGATAGATCTCCTTTCATGGAATCAAGAAATGCAAGTCCCACTCGGAATGCTTGCGACAAAAGCCTGACTGGTAACTCCGTGCATAAAAGCTATGAAAGCAGTAGTCGACATCCTCACAAAGACAAACATTCTCATAATAAAAGACATTCCAGATCAAGATCTCCCACTTTGTCAGTCAGTCATGAAAATGAAGGTCGTCATCGTAAAAACAATGAATTCAATCATCAGACACCAGAATTTTGGGAACGACGCCGTAAAATGCGTGAACGTGCTGGTGCTTCTGTGAATCCAAAAATATGGGAATCGAATCCACCTAAAGTAGATTCTGACTGTGATTCAGATGATGATGGTCAGTTTAAGCTTTCGGGACAAATTTTTGGACCAAATCTTCCTACAGATATGCAAATGTCTGACAGTCATATTCCTTCTCATATACATAAAAGTGGTGAATACAAAGGTCATCATCGTTCACACCATAAGCATTCAAAAAAGCATAAGAAGAATTCGAAAAAGAGTCAAAAACTTAAAAGACAAAAACACAAGAATAAACATGTTAAACGCAAGTCCTCCCCATCTTCATCTTCTTCCGCATCATCTTCTGAGTCCTCAGAAGAAGATAGTGAAGATGAGAAGAAACAGTTTATCAAACAAATGAAAGCTAAAAAACGTGAACTGGAACTTCGACGTGCGCAAGAAGAAGAAGAGGAAGAAGCAGTTGGACCAGTTCTACCGACTAATGAACATTCTAATTTAATCCCTCTAGATTACGGTCGTGCATTACTTCCAGGTGAAGGTGCAGCAATGGCAGCTTACATCGCTGAAGGAAAGCGTATACCACGTCGTGGTGAAATTGGATTAACGTCAGAAGAAATAGAATCGTTTGAAGAGCAAGGTTATGTTATGTCGGGTAGTCGTCATCGTCGTATGGAAGCTGTACGTCTGCGTAAAGAGAACCAGATATATTCAGCTGATGAGAAACGTGCTTTAGAACACTTTAATCATGCCGAACGAGCTAAACGTGAAGCAAAACTACAAGCTCAATTCAAGGCTTTAATCAAAAGAAAGTTAGAAGATAAACAATCAGCTCCACCCCCAAGTTAAAGAAAGCAATGTAAAAAGTGTAAACTGACACTAAACCACCGCTGTTTATTAATTACTTGTATAGAAGAATTCAATTCCACCCAAAACTTGGATTTTACAAAATAACTTCATCTGGTTACTCTAAAATAATTGATAACTGCCGTTGGCGTCATTTTTTATTTGTTCAAAAGTCAATTCAATCAAATAACATTGGGCATAACTGGTAGTTCAGCTTGTGTATATAGCAAAATCACTGTAATATACATATATTTTAACCACCAAGATAGTTTTGGCTTGTTGATATCGTTTTCACAGCTATTTAACTCTTAAGAATAGTAAACTTTTGTGTTCATCATATAGGTTACAAAAATCCTTAATTGCTTTTAGGCTCAAACTAAGTTTTAGTCGGTGATAAATACTACCTTGAAGTCAATAAATCAGTCCCCCAAAAAATCCAAATCAAACTAATTACTTATGAACTATCGACTGAGTTGTCGGGTTATTGGCTTACAGGTTTAAGTTTCCAGCCTCATCTAAGATATTTAATTATTCAATCGATTGGGAAACATGAGTGTTCTCTTTTCATCAAATAAGATTTGTGCAGTCAGGTCAGTTGGGTATAATGACTCAGTGATTCATTAGTAAATAGGTTATCTAAAAGTTCCGATTGGCAAACTCTGATGTAACCATAAAGATGGTGATAGACTGTATACTTCCTACAGTTTTCCAACCCAACTACTTGATATGTTGTTGAATCAGTTCAATGACAGTAGTCATGCTTCTCGTTTACTCTGTAACTGTGTGACGTACTTGTGGTTGGCAAAAGGCGGCTGTTGTTGGTATCCCATGACAAGCACCTTTTAAATGTTGACCTCGCCCGGGGAAGCCATTTGATGAAGGATTTCGAAGTTAGGTAGAGAGTGCTATACTAGTTAGTGACGTATTCTACCTTCATAGAATGAGTTATTTTCTGAAAATGTGTATAAGGCGTCTTTCTTCATAGGCCACTATAGAGATGTGGCTTACTGTCGTAAACAGTTAGCTTGTAATCAGTGAATTCCAGCTCCACCAACTTTGGCATGGGCAATTGTGTATCATGTACCTTCACAAAACAAGTCTTGCGCTTAGTCTAACACATAAACAGTATTGGATTGGGTTATATATCTTTTTACTAGGTAGCGGGGTAGTGAAGTTGTAAAAGACTTGGAAAACATTCTTAGCATGTACCTGACGACTTTTAGTTTTATTACCAGATGTAAATTACGTAGGCAATTACCTATTTACTACTCTATAATATTGTCATAATATACAGGAGGGGGAAATCTTTATTTTTGGTTTAAATATTTGTAACAGCTCATAAGAGGTTTAAGTGAGAAAATGTATACATTATTTCTTTTATACAGCTTCTATACAAACAATTCTATTTTTAGACCTTTTGTTACTATTTTTCTCCCGAAAGGATAGAAAATCAACAAATAACTGAATTGGTTTAAGGTTAGCGCATTAGGAATTTCTGCTAGACTCGAGCTTTTCAATATCAGTATTGCAGGCCTAACTGAGGAAAGTAGGGAACAAATCGTCTATCTACTGAAAAGACAAGTGATATTAAACTTCTTAAATGGTATATCATATTTTGCGGTTGAATAATTACACCAATAGTTTTGTACACTACTACGTTGTAGCTATATATTTAGACGAATATAACTGTTTCTAAATCGATGGCTTAGGAAGTAACATTGATTTAGTAATGGTCTGTATTAAAGGTGATGCTGGAAAAGCTTTAGAAAGCACAGACAATTATTTCGTCCTGTCCTGTAATTCTTCAGTTGTGTGAGATTTTCTAATGTGGTACTTCTCATTGTTCTTGATAAATCTGTCAAATATACGGAATCGTCCTTCATTTCTTGAAGCATATTATTGGCGAAATCATCTTTCGGATGATTTTAGAAAAGTGTAGTAAATTCACGATGATAATGATCCAAGTAATGCATTTTAACGTCATGAAGGTTTGTGTTATCTTTGTTTTTACCTCAGAAAAGAGGAATGAATCCACCTTCATAAAGTTGTTTTCACACTACTATATTCAAGTTGTTAAACGCGACATAGCTACTTAGGAGGGTGAAACATGAAAAGCAGTCTCGCAAAAAAGGATCTTTTCGCTATTCTATTCAACGATAGTTAACTGGCGAACTAATGTATTTTTAAGGTATTCTGATGGATAGATTACAAATATTAGTGAATCGGTGAAGTACAGCATATTCGATTCTAGATGTTGAATAGTATAGGGACCATAGATGTTTTACTTTTCTAGGATAGCTGTAATGTGACGAGAAAGGGTTTAACCACTGCGCTAACCTGGCAACAAATGAATTACCGTATACTTATACTCCTTGCTTATGAACTAGGGAGACGAAAAAAAACTAGACTAGTTGTAAGTAGTCAAATAAAAAGGATTTTATTAGCTCAAAACATTATAATCTCAGGTAGCAAAAACGATCACCAAGCTTATCTGTTTGTTTTTTTGCCCACAAGTCGTTAAATTTTTGACAATTTTGAAAACTTAAACTTTCGGTCACTTTTCATCGTCAACTTCGCACCTTTACTATTTCCTTGACATCGTTTTCGTTTCTGTCTACCCATACCAACTTCTCTTAGCAAACGTCTACGTTCAAGTGGTGTTATCTTTTGGCTTGTTGAATCGCCTGATTTACCTATACCAGCTCCGAGTGGAACAAATGCATACGGTTCAGGCATTCCACTTCGTTTCATATCACCTCTGGCCTTTACAGATGCATAGATAGAACCAGGTATTTGTAAACTCTTGTGTCTTCTGCCCTTTAGTGGTTTAGTTTTGTTATCATTGACATGAGGACCTGCAGACCGTGAGTTATTGGCGTCATCGTCATCTGCTAGTGCCCACTCTGTAAAATAGGGGGAAAATGAAGAAAAGTTTTATCCGTTTTACTCGAAAGCAGTTACATTGAGGTCATGAAGGGAATTAACAGACAATCAGTGACTAATTAAACATTGGTTTGCTATTCAATCATTCCTGTTCGCTACAACTTGGTCAAACCAATCACGCTTTTTTAGAAATAATATACTTCGACAGGTTTTGTGAACAAATCATTATTCATCACGGATTGAAATCAGTTAGAGGAGCATTAAAAACCTGGGAGCAGTGGATAGTTGTTTTATCCTAGTGTGGACACCTTCAGCAGTATGCACCTAGGACCTTCAGGTCTCACGGCGAACGCGTTAACCATTCAGCCACTGGGTCAGAGTTCAATGGTTCACAGTTTCCAACTTTTGTCAATTCACGAGGTGGCGTAACTATCACCCAAAGTCTTTGGTTGGTATCCGGCTCCCGACTAGTTGACCCCACAGGTCACGGTTTCTCATTAGAGCTCCAGGATATCCATCTGGAAGCGTGTCACTAATGAGCAGTATACAGTAATGTATTTTGAGGCGAATCGGGATTGTAATTTTGAGGTAGTATTCATTAGTCTGTGATGATGCGCAACAGCTAATTTGCCACACCCCACATCAGCAAATCAATATACACGGCAGAAAAAAGAGAAACAAGGGAAAATGTCATCGTGCAAGTTCATTAGTTTGAAATGCCACAATTCGTAGGACCACGTAAAGTCTAATAGAAAAAGATAAAATTGTATGGGAAGAGAAAAAATTTGGAAAATGAAGGTTAGTGGAAATATTTCAACTTCAGAAGACGTCAAAGAGTGAATATATCTGCGCAATTGTCACCAAGAGTCTCCAACTACTGATTCCAATCGTCGCGAGAACCTTCCAAACAGGTAAACTACACCGCACTGCATGGCTTAGTCCAACAGTCAGAGACTTCATGGGCTGATAACACATCTTGGTAAGGCCACCTTGAACCTTCCTCCAACGCAATTCAGGGTAGGCGGTAGCTCAGCATATGCAACAATATGACCAAACTACCCCAGTCAGTAAAGGTTCACAACCTGATCGATTGACTTATCTGCCTTGCCTACCCTACCTTACCTTCACCTAACATCAACATTCCTCACATAGTGATTGCGCCATGTGAGCAAAACTGTAAAACACCAGTGCTCAGAAACCTGTAACCTCTTTACATTTACCTTCAACGATAACGTCTCAGCTGTATTATACGACAGAGCGAACTGCAGCGCAATATACTTGTTCTATGACAGGCAGTCGGATATCCCGACGGAGATGGGGTAAATTGGCAAATGTACTCAAGAGAGGGTTTCGTCAACAGTCGACTCGTTAAGGCAAATTCAACTTTCTAAGTAAATGAAGTGGTCAACGCATTCTGTTATTTTACTCCCTTTCCTTAAACAGGGAGTAGTTGCTGACTAGTCCTGAAGCATCATCTTACATCTGACAGGTGTAAAACGCATGTCAAACATACTCCGATTTTTGTTTAAGGCGTCCAAAAGACCCTACATTTTGCAAGCGTTTTGGTTTTACAAGAGACTTTCATCTGTGTACCCGAAGTCGACCAGGTGTCCTTCAGAAGGAAGTACAGTAAAGTCAGGGGGACAAAAGGTTACTTTTACTGGTACGTGAATAAGAAAGTAAAACAACTAACAAAGGCTAATGTAATAATTGAGATGCAGATGTATCTGTGTCGCTGAGATTGATTCTAAGCAACCACCCTGAGTCTCTTAACACCAATTCCTATCATTCCAAAACTCCAGCTAAGTAGGTCATATCTCCATACACGGATGAGATCAGCAGTTAGAAATTCCATAAACTGATATGATCGCCTTCAATCTTCCTTCAGCCTAAACCTGTTTCGGTTAACATTATGCATCGGTGTAAATCGTGACTCAGCATGCGTAACATATATGTCCTAGCCACCTGAGTCGATAAAGATTCAGAACCTCACTAACTGATTTATTCCTTTTCCCTAAGAATATACACCTGACCTTTATGTTGCTAGCGTGGTGGCTGCATGAAACGCGGCCAATGCTATGAAGGCAACAGTAACTGAACACTGTTCCACAGTCATTTAGTAGAAGACAGCGAATTACTGCATAGTGTACTCAATCCTCGATAAGCAGTCACAAATCTCACTAGCGTTACAAACGGTGTAATTGGGCAAACGTTATGTTGGTCGTTCATATCCATGAAGAGATTTCATTGGTGACTGGCCTATCAGCGTTGATCCCACTTCTCAAGTAAAAGTGACCGACGCGGATAACCAATTTATCCTCGATTGTTAGACAAAGTACCACGGCGAACCAGTCGTCAACCAACAATTTATATTTGGTGAGAAATGCATCCCTCACATACAAGTTTTCAATCAAGGCGTTCAGAATGTTGCATCTTTTTAGTATTTTCGCCTAACAGGACAACGGAATCTACGTAATCGACGTCTACTAAGGAGTCTCCTACGAAAAAGTCGATCCCTGTAAAGTCAGACAAGGAGAATGGAGAGAGAACATTGCTGATAGGCACCACTCGACCATACCTGTTCAGATTATGCTCATCTGGATTATAGAACTACTATATTCAGTATTAAAGTGAATCAATCATTCAGCATGTGGTCAAAAAATAAAACTTGTTAGAACAATGAACACAGAAAAACCGTGCACACTCACCTAGGCCATCACGTTTAACATGCTGGATTTCATTAGTTGCTCCAATGATAATTTTACCATCAAGAATTGGGAATGGTTGACTGCGTTTGCCTGACTCCAAAGATTCCGATTTCGACTGTTGAGTCAAAGAATTCCTGAAAGCAGAGACCATTGCTTTCGCTGTTGTATCATCCGGTGCAAAGGCTGTATGTCTTGCCAATGACTTAGGATCAGATAGATCTAAGATCTCTGCATCATTTGGATTCTCAACTAGCCATAAATCGGAATCACTAGGCGTTGGATGATGTGATGATGACGAAAACAGAGGCATCTGTGAACGTCTAGACAACTGGCTACGAGTTGTAGATGCACGACTAACGGTATCAGCGAAACGGACTTTATGTTTTGATCGGAAAGGATGTTTAATCAATTCTTTATTAATCTGTTCATCGTCTTCACTACTATCAACATCGATATCCATGCCCGCATCTTCGAGAGATCCATTCTGAATTACATTTCTACGTGATCGTCTACAAAGTCCAGCAGTTCGTTTGATATTTTCTAATTCTTCTACAAGAGACATTGGCTGCTTTGATGACAAAGTGTTTTGAGATTTTGTTTGACTCCGTATAGATTTTGCTCGTGAATGTACTGAAGAACTATCAGATTGAGATTTGCTTCTGAAAAAATCATTGTCTTCATCACTGGAAGAGGCTAAGAGTTCATCCATACTTGAAGAAAAACAAAAAATAAAATGAGAATACTAAAAACAAATGAAGAGCATCTTTTCAGTGGCATATATGTTCATATAAGTGATCAATCCAGTTAGACTAGTAAAGAAAATATAAAAAAGTAAAATTCGTATTGAGGTCAGAAAGATGACCTGTTCTCTTAGTTTTACTGTTCTTAACCTTCACAGTTAAATCTTAACTGACTATAGTTCATGAAATTTCAGAAATTATCTTAGTTAAACCGACTCCTCCAGAAACATTACAAGGGGGCGCCTGTTCTTCAGTATAAATAGCCACGACCAAAGAACTGAGTCTATGATCATAGTATTCCCAATAATACCTCTGCTAGTCTAGCTAGGGATTTTCGATCTTTAATTAGTGATATCCTATCCCGTTCTACGTTTATAACGGTTGGGTAGATGATACCAGTGACCTATTAATGCTGAGAACGGCTGATGTAAACAGTTGGAAGTTAGTTGGATTATTTCTCTACATGCTTCAGTAAGTGTTGTGATGCCCCAGTTTTGTATAAGACATTGTTATTGATCTGAATACTTTAACGTGTCATTCCCACACGAATTTTAACGGTATAACTAGTAGTCTATTTCCTGCTTCCATTGTAATGTAAATCGCTGATTGGCTAATCTCACCCTTGCTACGCCTGTGCCTCAAATTGAGGACAAGGTCATTTTTCATGTGCACTTATTCACGTGTTTTGGGATTGATTATCATATATTCTCGGAATAATAAAATGTCCCACCATTCAGCTTCGGTCTTCTCTCTTTTCGTCCTGGAGTAGCAGTCAGCGACTCTTGCGTACTAAGTAAGCTGTCAGCTAAACGTGCGTATTATATTCATTCGGAATATATATAACTATTGGCGTTCGAAAACATAACAGTCAGTTACCTTGTAAAAGTAATTTATGCAAAACGGAGATTACTATTGGCACATATTACATTGTTATAGCAGTGCTTCTAGGAAATAAATTAATTTAGTGACAGTTTTTAGCCTAGAAAAAATAATTAACATAAGTTGTAAAATTACAATAAATATGGAATAGTGGACAGTGGTTTTATCCAACTTAGCAGCTCGGGTTAGCGACATTCTACGACGATAGAACTATAATATCTGGAAGACAATGTATGTTACAGTTGTGTAAAACATACTGAAATACAACTCAAGGGCGCATTTTTAAACAAACTACAACAGTCATCATTCAATATCTGTTTCCATATCCCCGTTTCTGATTAGGCCTTCAAGAATTCTCTTTTCTAAATTCAAAATGACTGATTTGTAAGTGATAAAAATATAGAAAATAAAAGTAAACATACCGAGTTACATGAACTCGTTTCGGCATAGCTGATGACAATGATTTACTGTGGCTTGATGATTGTACACTTTTGATATCATTGAGTATGGATTTTTGTGAATTATGGTTTGAATCACTATCATCCGATGTCGGCTGATGCATAGAACCAACTGATGATAATGTTGTTGATTTTGACGTTGATCCTTTGTTCAATACTTTAGCTTTACGTTCACGACGAGCAATCAGTTTGGCTGAATTACGAACAATTTTTTGATGTTCAGCATTCAATAGGTTTTGGATAGCTTGACGTCTGCACGGAAATTAGACGGTAAAACAGTACCTCATTGACGACAATAAAAGAGATAAAATCTGGGCAATATTGAAACAACTTCAGTTATGACAGTCAAAGAAAATGATGGCCGGTACTATTCATTGTGAATTATAGATAACTTGATCTTATACACCCGTACTAACAGGAAATTTAAGTTCGAATCAAACTAGATCTGTAGTCAAACAGAGGTTAAAATAGTATCCCATACTGGTCCTATTGGTTTGGTATTTTCTACTCTACAACTCAAAAGGGCCAAGGATAAGCGATGCACCGGAGTACGATAAAACATTATAGCTAAGGATATCAATATCAGACCAAAACTGTCATATGTAGACTTTTAATACGACTAAAAACATACTGATACGTTGTGTACTCATCGTTATTAGGTTCACTGTCACAGACAGTAGTTGAGTAATCTCTATGACTGTTGGAAAAAGACGTTTTTACTTGCGAACTTGAGTAATCAGTAGCTGAAACTGGCCTAGCACAACCAAAGTAGACCCCGATAACCTAAGACAGTCTAACCAATAAATCTGAACTATCATGCTTTGAGACTTCTACACTTCAAATATTTGACCCTTCTGCTATTCCGTGTCTCAGTTTCCAGTTCTTTCGATTTCAGCCTGATTAGCGAGGTTGATGAAAAAAACCTACAAAGACACTGACTAAATACAGCATTACTTACAAACAAAGTAACATACTATGTTATAATTGGATTGGGTTCGGTGATCAGTGTGATCCAGGAAGTGCGTTCCGTCCTACTTGGAAGTTATCAATTTGGGAGGTTTGTGGGGATTTATTGATTCCAAGTTGCCATGCGTCAGTTGGAGTAACATTAAAAACCTGGGAGCACTGGACAGCTGTTTCGTCCTGATATGGGACTCCTCAGCAGTGGGCACCCATGACTCCATCCCCAGGGATCGAACCCACGACCTTCAGTTCCCGTGTCCAGTACGTTACCACTGAGCCACTGGGTCGGAATCCAATGATCCATATTTCAGACTTCTGTCAGTTCACGACATAGCGCAACCATTACCCAATTTAATCATTGAGTATTTGTCCTCACGTCCACCAGGTTTGCCCTACCGGTCACGACTTTTCATTGGAACTTTAGAAATCACCTCTCGAAGCAAGTCTTTAATACACAATTTAGTATGAAATGACTGACAGTCATGAACATGTTTGGCTTATTCTTATAGAATTCTGAACATTAATATGAGGAACTGCATAATATTTAGATCATTGTTACTGGTAGAATTGAGTAGATATCTTGCAAAGACAATGACTACGCTGTCAAGATGGATTTATATGCCGGCTGTGTATTTTAAACAAGATATTTCCTTATCAAGCTAGGCGACAATAATGAAACGAATAAATTTACATTTAAAATTTACCAATGTAACGCTTGCGAAATCATAATCATCCACTTTTAGTTTCTATACCAAGACTGCCTTATCTTTTCACTGTGAAGCATAACTTTCTGTCGATTTTCTTTATTATTAAATGTAAGCGCATCCTGTGTACCTGCTGTGTCGTCTGTTCATGTTTTTCTGTTCCAGATTCTCATGGTAATCGTAAAACTCACACTGTTCTATGCTTCCCGTTACAAAAAAGTGCTCATAGGTTAGACACAAATCTACCGAAAGCTAGTCACTACAAAATAACATAGATATATTAAACAAGAATAGTCAGAATTTGTCACTGGAATTGACCAAGTAATCTGGTTTGATTGTGCGACAATTGCACACTCGTAAACTTTAGCAACCAATTACTATTGGTAATCAACATTCAGAACCTATGGCAGTGGGCATAATAATGTGCCTAGGATGAAGATGTGATCTACTGCATTGGAAGTATAAAAGAAAATACACTAATATAAAGAAGCACACATGCACTGAGAACATTATTATGATAAACTAGCAGAGAGTTCAGCGCTGACGACTTCACTTACCCAAACTTCTTCATCATCTTTTCTAAGATTGATTTAACTACAAAGCGCAAAGGCCGTTTGCATGAAGGATGGATAGACTGTAAAGTTTCCAACTATAATGCAATAGTAAGGAAACAAAAGATAACATCAAGAAAGATGTATTTTTTCAAAAACAAAAAGGATTTTGCAAAAAACAACAAGATTTCAAAAGAACACCGTTAATTAATTGATGTTAATACAAAGGGAAGCACACAAAAGATACTACTAGTGAACAACTTTAGTTAGAAACCTCTCAGGCTGATCTGTAGTATTTTGCCAGCCACATTAGAGTGATCTAAGCCTTGGACGGCCGTTTACTTCGTTCGAAGCTAAGTTCGTCAGTCGTGTACCTGGGTAAACTCACCTCCTACAGCCAAATTACTACACATCAGACTGAGTGATTTCTAACGGCTCAGGTTGTTCACCAGTAGTATCTTTCGCTAGTTCATGACAATTTTATGTTAAAGATCACATCTTATGATCTCGGCTGAATGGCTTCCAACGGAAGCCTTGTTCACACCACAATTGGACAGCTGAAAAACTATTCAGCTGAGAGAAATGTTAACGTGGACCGTGCAATTTGTAGATCATTTTATTTTGGGAAGTGTACGAATTACACAAGTTAGCAAACACTTCACCCAAGTCTAACTCCTTGGAAGTTAATGGCAATGGATTCTCACCTCATAAAATTAGTGAATAATCCTTCAGTGAGTTGGTTATTCAACCAGCACATACCCACACACACATATGCTTTGTAGGTGCACAAGTACAATTCATCGTTTCTTTTTATCAGCATCATGCTTAGTTAAGTTTAATGGTAACATGGAAGAAACGTGAACACCTTATAGTCATTCAGTTTTTATCTAAAATCGTTAATTCAGCAAAACTTCGGATAATCACGCCAACCATTGAACGATTTGTTATTTCTACTCCTTTCAGTTGTGAGAAATCCCACTACATATCATTCAGAGACTTCAATAGCCCAAACACTTTGTTTAAGTTTTATAAATGTAACGGAACACAAATAGACAACAGTATAATAATGTCACTATGTGAATATACAACCGAATGATATAGGACTTTAAAGTTCAATGTAACTGGCAATTTGTGTTTCAAAGTAATCCCAACAAGTATATGTATACATATTTGGCTTCACATCAGTGATTACGAGAGACGATAAAAACATCAAAAGTATTAAGTGCAATACACAGTTCCGATTGTACTTCAACTTACCACAGAAGTCAAACTGATGGAGCCTTCTCTGATAAAGATGATAAGCGAACGTGACAATTGTAGTCCTAAACGAATCAATACACGGTGCGGTGATTCTACCAAGCTTCGACCAATTAAATTCACTTCAGATAACAGAGTGGAAACCAGCTGACAAATTACATCTGACTCTGAATTGATATTTAAGATAAGCGCTTGTCTAAAACGCATATGCTTCATTAGTAGACAGATTGCACGAGCTGATGATTGTTGTAGGGCTAATTCGACTGGATTGCTGGCACAACGATTATGCGGTGGTAGACACGGCCATAAACGCGACAGAACTAGATTTAAAGCTCGACATATCTTAGAATAAAAGAAAACAGATTATGATAAGTAAGACTGTGCTACCAGGTTAATGACTATTTCACTGATTATTCATCACCACAGTAAGCATAATGAGAATAAAAATTCACAGAATGACCAGGCATAACAACAGACCATGGAATAATGGCTCCACCCCAACCCCCTAAAACAGGTGACTGGCTACCTAAACTAAGCTAGGTAGAGTATAGCTCGACCGAATACGGTTATTAAGCATATTTTTTCCATCAAGAATCAAAAAGAATCGTTAGTGAATTCACTGTTAAACAATGAATTATCGAGAATAAATTTCAAGTCTTAGTTTTCTCAACTTTGCATTTATTTCACAGTGTATAATCCACTTGATCATGCAGTTTTCATATACTCAAGTTGATAGGGGCTTAACTTTCCAGTCCCGTTGAAGGCAATACGTAGACTGATTTGTAATTGATTTCCAGAAAGTAATTCCTGATTGTTCAATGACTGACACACTGATTTAGAAACAGATTGCTCCAGAGAATGTTCAACTCAGTAAGTTTTCACTTACTAGCACATTTTATGGCTTGAAGATCTACTAATTGATAAATTATTTCTAAGTTGGTAATCATCATTGACTGACATCAGTTGGAGGAACATTGGAGGCCTGGGAGCACTGGAAAGCTGTTTCGTCCTGATATGGGACTCCTCGGCCGTGCGCACCCGCTCCCACGGGTCGAACCCAGGACCTTCAGGTTCTGTAGCCAGCACGTCAACGTTGAGCTACTGGGTTGGAATTCAGTGGTCCATAATTTCAAATTCTGTTAATTCACGACAGTGCTCATTGGTGACTAGCTTAGAGAGGTGATTTCTAAAGTTCCAATGAAAAGTCGTGACCGGTAGGGCAAACCTGGTGGACGTGAGGACAAATACTCAATGATAAAATTGGGTAATGGTTGCGCTATGTCGTGAACTGACAGAAGTCGGAAATATGGATCATTGGATTCCGACCCAGTGGCTCAGTGGTAACGTACTAGACACGGGAACTGAAGGTCGTGGGTTCGGTCCCTGGGGATGGAGTCATGGGTGCCCACTGCTGAGGAGTCCCATATCAGGACGAAACAGCTGTCCAGTGCTCCCAGGTTTTTAGTGTTCCGCCAACTGATGTCAGTGCATGATGAATAGCGACTTGAAGCCAATAAATCCCTCCAAAATTTAGTATTTTAGAAAGACGTCGTGAAGACATGAAAAAGATGATCTTATCTTCTCGCGGTGGACATAACATTATAGTTAGTTTATTTTGTGACGTTGTTAAGCAGTGAGATATTCATCGATGGGTGGATACACTCACATAAAACTTAGTCAATGTCACAAGTCATGCAGGTTGTTGATTGTGATTTTAAAGGTTTTTCCTTTATGTCTTATCATTATTGGGGCACTAGACGCGAAAGAGACTAGACTAATATATGAAGATTTTCATTACTTTGACATTTTCATGGATATGATTTACTCAGTGCTCAAATTTTCTCAAACCATCAAATATCAACTTCATTTAAACATCTCTTACTTGTAGATATCTGTATGCTAGTGTAGTCTTGTATGTTCACAGGCAGTCGTGACTGACAAGATTTTCATACTTCTTAACGTTTAGTGATAGGAGATAGTTGAAACCATGACGGAAATTATAATTAGTTTGAGATTATGATAAGCACTAATGACCACTGTAATTAAACTTGAACACAGAGATATGTGGGTCTAAACATGATTATATGATAGGGGAAAATAAAGCAAATGAATAAACATTTACCCGCTCAGATATTTCACTACCACGAGGCATAGACTTAGTCGACATGATGTCTTCATCCTCATCACCATCAGAATACGTTAGACCGCCTAAAGAGACCACAGATTTATTATCCCGATGAACATCATCATTGTCGACATCTTCGTCTTCACTCTCTGAATCCTTCATTATACTATTCATAATACTAGGTGGACGAGAACTTCTATTATCAAGCGTTAAATTACTCCTTGATCCATATAATGAAGATGATAACAACTTAGAATTCTTATCAAATGGTTGTTGGCCGGCAAAAGCATTTACAAGACCAATTAACAAACGTCCAGCTAAATCCCGTACTGTACGATTCAATTCTTGCATACATGTTAGTATCTAAAATTCAAAGGACAATATGAATAAAGTTTACTTCAATTCTGTTCTACAACAAACAGATTACTACATATGGTTTTACATTATCCCAGCTATTGCATATGACCTACTAGACGAAACCATATCCTGTCATTGCGATTGTGCTGACATTACGATATGGTTAAACTATTCAGTGAGGATATTTCGGAATCATACATTGTGTCTTACGCTTGCCTCAATCACTGATCGTTTTAGTGTGCAATATATAGGTGGAACGCTAGTTTGCGAAAATTAGAGGACTAACTATTTTAATATATTTGAAAAAGCAGGGTACAAATAATTTTCCAATGCTAGTTGGTTGGAAGTAATCGACATGAAGGCCTGGATTTAGGTTTCGTGCTTGTTAGCACTCGTCAGCAAGGTGTATCTGAAACCTCGATAGAACTTATGCCCCGCGTGAGTTCCGAACCCGCTTCACCCAGTGTTGAAGGCAGCGACGTTAGCACTGAGCTATTCAGGTCGCGACTGACCTCCTGTAGGACTAGATTACACACAGTGACTGGTCACTGCACAGCAACCAATTTCATGTTGGTCATGAGTGCTGACCGAATTCTAACGATTCGAATAGCTCAGTGGTGACATCGCTGACTGCAACACTGCATGATATGGGTTCAATTCTTAAAAGGGACATCGATTCCCTTAAGGTTGCAGATACCCCTTGCTGACGAGTGCCAACAAGCCCGAAATCTAGGTCCAGGGCTTCCTGTCGATCGTTTTCAGCCAACTAACATCCATCAAAGTCCACCACGTTGGTGAGCTTCCTAGCTTGATGGTCACACTACAAAATGATTGATAATAAAAGTCGGTCAGCACTCAGAACAAGACAACATGAGATTGGTTGCTCTACAGTGATCAATCAATATAATTTTTTAGTGTATTTATACTTCCAGAGAAAAAAATAGGATAAATATGCGATATTCAAGTCGAGTGGAGTGAATTTTGACCAAAATATAAACACACACCGGTGTCCTCTCTCTGTTGATACTAAATAAACATTTAATTCCCTTGGTTAAGAAGTTTTATGACAGCAACTGATGAGGAAGAAATATGATATCCTAGTAAAATTCTCTTTAATCAAGATTAAAGACTGAGTGTACGTTTGTGGATAGCAAGGTTGCTTAAATGGTAATTAGATGTATTTCTTACCGTCTATCAGTTAAACATTACAACAAGGCTAATGTACTTTCGTTGTTACATTGTCGGTTGTATCCATTTAGGTGAGTAGTGCTCTAATGCATCTTCAGTAGGAAGAGGTAAAGTGTATACAAGAGTAGAATTAGGGTATTGTGGTGGACTATACTTGCAGTATATTTCTTTCATTGCATATGTCACCCGGTAAAACAGTAGTCTTTACCGAAAATGTTTTGAGCTGAATTAATCCATCATCTCCAAACTGGCCCAATTCATTTAGTGGTGATTCAATATCACAACAATGCAACGCCCGGCTTTCGTTTGACTACAAACCTGAGCATTGAATTTATAGACTCACTCAATTATTAAATGGATGGTCATAAAGTGAAAAAAAGACTCCATAAAAAGGAATGCAACCCTTATTTCTCTTGTGTGTCTTCTAACCTCCTGTACTGCTGTCGGATGACATTGGTCAGGACAAGAGTTCGAGGTGAGGTTATCCTCACCATTCACGAAACCGCACAAAAAAGTTGATTAAAAATATAAGGCTAGCGAAATAAGAAAGGATGGCAGTTATGAAGTATGAACCATTTTTGGTATTTTATGACTTTGCCTGAAGCACGTGATTCTGTCGACTCAAAATTAACGCTTAACTTGGACATGACTGATCTTACATATAATTGGCACATCTCGTATGCTCAACTAGCAACTACGATGATCCACACAATTCTGCTACAACAATTACGTACAACATAAAGCAGAGTCTAGTGTCTGTAAATATATTGGCAATCTGAATTATTTCTGTATATATGTAAAGCTAAATTACACGACCAAAAGGCAATTTATAAGAATGAAACAACCAATTTTATGCATTAAAAAAAGGAGATAATACACAATAATTGATTTAACATAAAATTATTTCCAAACTATAAATCACACAGAAATGGATGAGGTCAATTGAAAGCTACACAAAAAGGTTAACAAATAATTTCATGAGAGAAAAAAAGTATCTTTTAAAATAGATAATGATATCACCAATAATAGTTATCTGAGATTTACGTTTCCCACTTTTTGGCCGCGATATAACAGGTATCGATCTGTATTTATACCTCATCTATCTCATCATATTCATTACTCACATGTAAGCATGTTGTTGTACGTTTATGCCATGCTATTAAAATGGTTGTATTAAAATACACTTGCACACTCTTCTCTAAATTACAAGAACTAGTAGCTAAGTAAATATACTTCACTAAGAATTCTTAAATTTTGGCCTCAAGAAAATTTACTAGTTTCTTTTCCCAGCATATTTTCGCTGGTAATCACAGTTTAAATCATGATGAGAAATTAAGGAGGTTAGAACAGGGGGGAGGACTGTCATTACAGAAATCTGTTTCCAAAGTAGTTGAAGACTACTCGCTTTTCAGTCATGACAGCTTCCCCAAGCTTCAATAAACTTCAACTGCACTGTTTATTCATCTTGACTGGGATTACTATTCAATGATTTTAACTCAAAACTAACTTTTTCGTTTATTGTACAGCTTACTATTCTATTTTTAGCGATTGTTCTAAAGTCTTCCACAGCGAGAGAATATATATCAGTATACAGTTAATTAATGCTGCGGTAGATGAATAAACCTAGAGTAAAACTCTGCACTTTCTCACTTCTTTTGCAATTTGGGCGGTCCTGCTAGCTTCAAACATCGTGCGAACATTCCATGTCCCCATGCTTACTTTTGCCTTCATCGAGAGAAGACACATGGATCAATTGGCTTCCCGAAGGCTTTCACCAACCAGCGTCATTTCGTCCCCTCGATTCCAGCGAAGAAAAGTTACATTTTACTTCTTATATTTCGACTGTGCTTTGAAGTTTCTTTAGCGACTGCATTGATTTTCCCGGGTAGGGTTTCTAGCTCCACGCCCAACCTTCCCTCTTTTTTCAGGCTTAGGACCGGCTGGCAAACTAAATGAAAACCAACAAGTTGACAGAAGAGGCAAGGCAGCGAAGACGAGACTCACTTCAGCTCAACGTAAAGAAGACAGAGGTGATGGAGATATCCAACCAACAACAACAACAACAAGCACCAATCACCATCAACGGGAGAAATCTAAAGGAAAGAGTCTCGTTCACCTACCTCTCTACCTAGGCAGCATCCTCTCAACTGCAGGCGGCGTCGGCATGATGAGCATGTCAAAGTCAGGATCGGAAAGACAGCAAGACAGGTCTTCACCAATCTGAAATCAGTGTGGAGATCTACCGCACTGAACTGCACTCAGCACAAAGTGTGAACAAGATTCGGATTTTCAACACTAAGTCAATCAAGTCAGTGCTTCTATGTGATGGTTGAGAGACTTGGCGCGTCACAAAAAGCATTTCCAACAAACTACAGACATACATAGATCAACAGCTGCTGCCTACGCCCACTCGATACTGAAGAGTAGATCAGATGGACAGAATAATAAGAATAAGCAGCAAGGAACTCTGGCTGGCTGGCTGGCTGGCCGGCAACGAACCAACCAACCAAACAAGAATGTATGGCCTAATAAATATGCAGAGGGAAGTGGAGATGGATTGGATTGGACATACGCTGGAAAGACCATATTGGGACATCACGTGTCAGGCCATGCCATGTCATGCCATCGAGTGGAACCCGAAGGGGAAACGAGCTGGGCGTCCGAGGTGAGGGTGACATGGAGGAAATCGTGTGAGGAAGAAGTGAAAGCTTTTGGTCAGTCGTGGAACCAAGTTGAAAAGACTGCAGAGAAGAGAGTGAAATGGCGACGTGCTACTGAAGTCCTATGTTCCACTAAGAACCCTAGACACAAATAATAACAATTAATAAAACGTTGCAACGCACAATCCATCTTCTCCATAGACCTAGTTACAGAGGAATGCGGGCATAAAAAAATCATCAACATGGAATTACTCAGTACGCATGTTTTTATAAGAAATATGCACAACATACCTCAGGTAGGAACATATTCGCAAATTCTCTTAAACGGTCGTTCTCCATCAAATCACCACTATGCACAGTATTGTTTAGGTTCGCGTTGGTGGCACCATCTAGTTCACAAGTGACTAGACGTTTGAATAAATGATGAATACATCGAAGAAGAGGTTTCCAAGGTATAAAAAGTTGATGTGTTTTATTTTCCTGTGTATCCAGTTTCATTTCACACACCGAGAGTGTAGTCAATTTTTCCTCTATTGATTCAGTAGTAGATATAGTAGTATTATCGTCTTTAGTGGTTGTTGCTCCCAATACTTCTGCCACAGTAGTAGTCTTGGTTATCGGCAATGTATTCACTGGCTTTTTCGTCAAACTGTAAACCATCTGGATGACATCATTCAAGTGCGAATTCAAGAATTCATCAGTTTGATCAGTACTACCAGCACAGATACTTTCAAAAACACGAAATACACGCTTTCTCAGTGGTTTCGATAGTTGTTCAACCTAATGAATTGTAACGATCGAAAAGGTAAGGATTATATGGAAAAAAATTTGCGATTTAGTCTCAGTTTATGAACGTGGAAGTTCATCAAAAGAATCAACACAACTTCACAACTCCGTAAAAGTTTAGTAGACCGACAAGCTAGAAATAATATCAATTATGTGAGGCTTGAAGATTTTACCCATCTTTTCAAACATCCGAGCATGCTTGGGATGTGAAATTTTCGCCTCCGAAATCCAACTTATTGCTTGTAGGTTGGTGTTTGGTGATACATTGCTTGACAATAGGTGGAATGGTTGAACTTCACTTGATTAAAAAGTCAGATCAGTCCTGGTCCACTGGCGGTATGTCAGACATAGGGTCCAATAAAAAAAATTTTTTGCGGAAGTACCACACTTATGGTATCGGTAAGATTTCGAAATGCCTAATACGGATTGAGTGTAGTGCTCAACAGTTCACTATGGTCCTACTTTGTAGCGACAAAATACACCCATTAAATTTAAACAGCGTAATGAGAAGACGAAGATTATCTGAAACATGTGATGTATTAGCGCTATACATTTCGAACAATCTGATCACACATGGACTTGTCGAACTATTTATATGGAAATTTACGAAAACGTCAATGAAGTTAATGGGAAACCCCCTTTGTGTATACAAAAACAATTTGTACTCACGTTGAACCTACCTTGGTAGTATTGATTTTAATTTTCATACCAAGAATAAGGTTTTCCTTTTCTATCCCTTCCTATTCCTATGTTTCCCATTAACTTCATTGACCTTTTCGTAAATTTCCATATAAATGGTTCGACAAGTCCATATGTGATCAGATTGTTCGAAATGTATAGCGCTAATACATCACATGTTTCAGATAATCTTCGTCTTCTCATTACGCTGTTTAAATTTATCAAAGGGACCAGTTGCTTTAAATTTTTAAAAAGAAGACACCCATTAAAGTTGGAGCGTATAACAAAACAGTAAGTATTCGGGCTATGTTGTCCACATAACGTAGCATCGATCGTATGTCACTGAATCAATACGTAAATAAAATATAGATAAGGCGTAGTGCCCTAGGTAAAAAATGACGTCAGTTGATACGTTTGCAAGGCATTGTTGAATTGGGTAGGTAGGACAGGTGCTATACATATCTAATTATTGTCTACGGCGACACGCCATGTTGGCTGAAGTATGATTAAACTGGAAAACAATTAAGAGTGGCTGAATTAAAACGTGACAGCAGATCATGAAGACTCAAACGATGAACTCCTGCTGAAGCACTTACTGAGTGTAAATTGAGAACACTTTACGACATTGTGGCCTCGAAAGCACTGTTCAAAAGACCACCAACAAATCCCAGAAAGACGTTCGAAGCGGGAACACCAATATTTTACTGTGACTATCGACCCAAGTATGACAGATGGACAGTCAGAACAATAATCCATAAGTGTGTAAGTGTGATATGTGACGCAGCCACTGGACGCGACACAAAAATCAATTGCGTCGAACAGCAGCACCCCAACAAGAACCATTCTCAAGCAGAATTCCCTTGAAAATCCTACTGGACACATTTCGATAACTCAGAACAGATCTAATGATGGACCAATTTCAGGAAAAGCCCAAGAAGGACTAAAGGGATTTCTTTCACGAATATGATCAGACAGAACACGACGAAAGGGGATACGTTTACAAGCTGAACATCGAAATTTATTAAGGGGTTATGTGTTTGGGGTTTTAGACCCCCAAAATGAACGTTGTGTCTTAATTTGATAAATTTACCACATGGAAAATCTCAATTTATCTTTTCCGCATCATGTGTATCATTCAAGTTTAACGCTTACACTGTGCATAAAAGCCCCCCAAATTTATACTCTTCGGTTGAAGTAAACTGTCTTCACTTCAATACGGTGCTCTTTCTTGTATCAGCTGAGTGAGTTGTCGAGAATCATATTGTTCATTCGGTACCCAGATTATACGTCCCCAGTTACCTGTTTCCAGAAATGTCAACACTTCTAGTTTACCGATTACTCATTCAATACGTAGGCAGATGTGTGAGCTTATACTAGAGGTTATCCGCAAGATGATACCAGTTTCCTTTTAAATTTCGTAAATAATTTAGTGAATAGGAAAGTAAATCCAAGTTTTTAAGCTTGAATTGAGTAGCAATTGAGGATTTCTCATAACTTCCGTCACAATTTTGTCTTAAATGCATAAAGCTAAAAGCTAATATCCGTCTGTCATTAGTTACTATAGGAAATGCGTTGATGATTTATCATATAAACTCATAACATTTTGGATGTATAACTGTTAGCTGCAATTGAGTATTTCTTAACGACGAGTATTTAACTGCGTTAACGCATAGCACTTATTTAGAAGTAAAAAAGTAAATATTTATCAATCTGTGAATCACTGACATTTATTTTAAAATATTACTTGTTATGCATCAATAGCGTCTGCAGAAACATTGTATAAAACAGCAGTGTATAAATATTTTAGAAGCTTAGAACTGCGGAAAAATTTATTCGCACGCACAACTCTTTCTACAATTAGTGGACGTTGCGCAGCGCTATCAGAACAGCAAGTTAGAAGATGGTTACAATATACAGTAAGTTAACTGCAAATGCCAAAAGTCACTAGTAAAAATTTGATTCCCTGATATATCAATGACATGGTTGACTTTGTATAAAGTTATGAGTTATTTTTCATCTGTGACCAGCTTACCGATAACTAATCTGAAGACAGAGACTGACCTTGAGCTGGTCATTAACCTTTCTTATTTAATGATAATTTGGTCAAATTGCATTAAATCACTGAATCGCATAGATTTCCACATATTTTTAGTAAGTATATTACACATTTGATACACTGGCTAAGGCAGATGTTGTGTCGGATGTTCTGACGAGTACAGTAATAGGCTTTACACAGCAACTAGCAACAATTTAGGGATGAAGATATGATAAGTTATGAGTTATATGAGAAGACGTGGGCTTAGGCAAACGACTTTCCAACAATGGGGTCGCGGGTTAAAATGTTATTACGCTTACTTTAGTCTGAAAAAGTGGCTAGCATAGTATATCCTCACATAACAATTACGGCACCCTGGTGTAGTCATTAAGTAAAAGGAAACACAAACTCAAAACCACTAAAATAAAAGTGTGTGCTTACATTCAAATATTCATTAATTCGATTAATAATCCGTTTCATGTCATCCACAGAGTTGTAGGGTGCTAAAATTTGAAATATTTCTAGATAGACCGGTCTAAAATGTTGAACAAAAAGAGAATTCAGAGATAAGGGTGGTAAGAAGAAGAAACCGTTAACCCTCCTCAGAAACTGTAATAAACTATCTGTAATTAATACTGAAGTAGCTTTACCTCAGAATGATAATTATTGGAGAACCATGAAAATAACCTGAAAGCACTGAACAACCGTGTCATTTTAGTTTGAAACTCAACAGCAGTGCCCAGTCATGACCGCACGAAAGGTCGAGCCGTAAACAGCCAGGTCTCACAGCTAGCGCACTGCTATTCAGCCACTGGGTTTTAATTTTGTAAATTCGCGGTACAGCGCGATCATTGTCAAATGCCGTCATCCGGAAAGATTTTTAACTACCAATGATAAAAAGATCATTCTAAAAAATAGCACTCACTGCTTTGTGTTTTCGAATTTGAGCATGGCAGTTTTTGTCAGTGAACTGATCATCTAAAGGTAAAAGAATAGGCAACAAATAAATCATGTAGTTGTAGAGGCAAATACAACCACGCCTAGTTCACTAGTTACTAGCTGGTCCTAAGCTTGGATAAAGAAAGAAGGTTGGGCATAGGGCTAGCAACCCTACCCCGTAAAACCAATTTAACCGCTAAAGAAACTTGAAGGGGCAAAAAAAGTACACTTATTCCTTGCTGGAGTCGGGGAGACGAGATGACACCAGTTGGTGAAAGCCTTCGGGAAGCCAATTGGCAGATCTATGGTCTCTCCCTCGATGAAAGCGAAAGTAAACATGGGGACATGGAATGTCCGCACCATGTTTGAACCCAACAAGGTTGCACAGATTCAAAAGGAAATAAGAAGAAATAGTACAAAAGTACTAGGAATCTGCGAAAGCAGATGGAATGGAAGTGGACTCTCCAAACTGTCAACTGGAGAGTCAATAATCTATTCCCATATTGTCACCCAGGCGACAACCACGAGCACACTGAGTTCTCGAGTGGCTATCATGATGTCTCCAAGAGCATCAAAGGCTCTCATGCAGTGGGAACCAATCTCCTCCTGCAGGATTATGACAGCAAGATTCATCTCAAAAGGAAGGAAAGTCACAATCATACAATGCTATGCTATGCACCTAGAAATAATGCAGATCAAGAGAAGAAAGAGGAATTCTATAGACAACTGAAATCAGTAATGGACATAACCCCAGTTGGTGACATCAAAATTCTAATGGGCGACATGAATGCCAAACTGGGAGCAGACAACACAGGAATAGAATTCATCATGGGCCGAGAGCTACTCGGTGAAATGAAGAATGAGAATGGAGAACAATTTGCAGACCTCTCGCGTTTAATGATTTGGTGATTGGAGGCAGTGTGTACAAATACAAGGATATTCACAAAGCGACATAGATTTGATTTCACCAGATACCAGGACACACTAAAAATCAGATCGACTTCATCTCAATCTGAAGAAAGTGGAGACAGCCTACTGAACACAAGATAAGATCAAGAAGAGGAGCAGATGTAAGTCCACACCACTCACTATCTGGTGCAAGGAACCTGCCTTCAAAACCAAGTTGAAAGCCGGGAACTGAAGGACGAAACTACAAAGGACATCTTCACTTCATTCATCAGGAAAAAAATGAAGATATCGAGGAACATCCCCGAATAAACCTGCATGGAAGAACACTGGAACTCTTTGAAAGAGATGTGGAAAGAAACCTGTATAACCGTATTAGGAAGGAAGAAGAAAGAAGACGGGGAATGGATCTCCACAGACACATGGAAGCTGATAGAGGAGAGACAGGAAGGTGGTGATGGTTAGGAAGATGAAACAGTGCAGTGCAGGGATGAACAACGAAAAGAGGAACTGAGTACAAACTATAAAACTCTACACTGGACAAAGAAGTGAAGAAGAGTGCGCGCAAAGACATAAGACGCTTCTACGACACACTTGCAAGTGAAGCCGCAGGTAGGAGAGACCTGACATTATATCAAATAACCAGGTTACCATTTGGGAAGAGATCAACACAAATGAAACCGATGAAAGATCGGTAAGAAAACTTAGTTACCAAAGAGAAGAAACAAAGAAAACGACGGACTGACCACTTGAAAAAACTCTTGAATCGACCACCACCTGCAACTCGTCAGGAAATACCGCCAGAAGCCCAGCCATAGAACTACCAGCGAACAAAAGCCAAAGTGAAGTCCTGAACGCCATAAAGTTGTTGAAATCTGCGAAAGCAGCAGGACCAGATGGAATTCCGCTAGAAGCACTGAAAAAAGATGCAGGCAACAGCAGACATGCTCACACCACTACTGCAGAAGGTTTGGAAGAAAGTAAAGGTATCTGCTGATTGACTGAAAGAAGGGTTACCTTGTCAAACTCCCAAAGAAGGGAGGCCTAAGTCCTTGCAAGAACAAGAACTGGTGAAAAGTCATGCTCCACTCCTGTCCACCCCAAGCAAAATATTGGGCCGCATCATCCTGGAGACACTAAAAAATGCTCTAGATTCAAAATAACGACCAGAACAGGCTAGATTCAGGAAAAACGAATCATGCGCAGATCAAACTGCAACGCTGCGCTACGCATCATCATAGAACAGAGCACAGAATGCCAGTCAACTCTCTACCTCAACTTCATAGACTTCGAAAAGACCTTCGACAAGTCGACCGAAAAATAATTTGGAAACTGTTTCAGCACTACGGAGTACCACAAACCTTTATCAACCTCATTCAACAACTATATGACGACGCCACATGACAAGTGATTCATAATGGAAAGCTCAGTGATGTCTTTGAAGTGAAGACAGGAGTAAGACGAGGTTGCCACCTACTATCACCGATCATCTTCCTGATTGTGGTCGACTTGACTGGATCATGCAACAAACAACTGTGAAGAGCGAGAAGATGGGCATACGCTGGCTCGACCAATAAAAAGAGACTACACGATTTGGATTTCGCCGATCATGATTTACGTCTAATGTCTTGCAGCACAAACTCGAAGATCTGCAGGCAAAAACCAACACGTTGACTGGAGAGGCAAGGCAGCGAAGACGAGACTCACTTCAGCTCAACGTAAAGAAGACAGAGGTGATGGAGATATCCAACCAACAACAACAACAACAAGCACCAATCACCATCAACGGGAGAAATCTAAAGGAAAGAGTCTCGTTCACCTACCTCTCTACCTAGGCAGCATCCTCTCAACTGCAGGCGGCGTCGGCATGATGAGCATGTCAAAGTCAGGATCGGAAAGACAGCAAGACAGGTCTTCACCAATCTGAAATCAGTGTGGAGATCTACCGCACTGAACTGCACTCAGCACAAAGTGTGAACAAGATTCGGATTTTCAACACTAAGTCAATCAAGTCAGTGCTTCTATGTGATGGTTGAGAGACTTGGCGCGTCACAAAAAGCATTTCCAACAAACTACAGACATACATAGATCAACAGCTGCCGCCTACGCCCACTCGATACTGAAGAGCAGATCAGATGGACAGAATAGTAAGAATAAGCAGCAAGGAACTCTGGCTGGCTGGCTGGCTGGCCGGCAACGAACCAACCAACCAAACAAGAATGTATGGCCTAATAAATATGCAGAGGGAAGTGGAGATGGATTGGATTGGACATACGCTGGAAAGACCATATTGGGACATCACGTGTCAGGCCATGCCATACCATGCTATCGAGTGGAACCCGAAGGGGAAACGAGCTGGGCGTCCGAGGTGAGGGTGACATGGAGGAAATCGTGTGAGGAAGAAGTGAAAGCTTTTGGTCAGTCGTGGAACCAAGTTGAAAAGACTGCAGAGAAGAGAGTGAAATGGCGACGTGCTACTGAAGTCCTATGTTCCACTAGGAACCCAGAGGCCAAATATTAATAATAAGTGCAACTACAGTAGTTCTGGATTTTTCAATCAAAACTCAGACACTTCAGTTGGCAAGCTTGGGACCCCACGGACTGTGAATTTCACTTACTGAGTATTACTGTCAATATTATCATATTAACCGAACCTGTTAATGATGTCCGAACCTCTTATCAAGTTAAATTTACCTGAAGTTATGCTTGTGTCATTTAGATTTTTGTTTCGCATCCTTTACTTTTTTACCTATATTACTTTTCATATGAGCTACTAATGTCCTGATTGGCTCACGTCACTTTTAAAACATTGATCATTCTTTGTTTTTCAGAGTCACAGTCATTTCTTATGTATGCAACAAGCTTTTACAAATATAGATCTTCAGTTTGATTTCAATTCTTGACGAAATCAATAATGCAATTCAGGAAGTACATGCCCATTCAGGTAGCAGGTGATCGTTTATATCTAGTGTCTGAAGGATAATTATACCATCTGATAGCATAGTTCTCGGTAGGAAGAGTGTGGTTCGAACCTGTGACTAATCAGATGGAAGTCGAGTACCGAGACTAATGAGTTACAGTTTCAGTTTCTGGATTTCACTCTGCGAATAACTCGGGTTGGACTTGTGTCATCTGTTTAATTCTGTTTCTTTACTTCATTCTCATTCATCCGTGCACAAACCACATGATTAATTAAAACATGAAGCCAACACCAAACACATTGACTCTATGATTAGGAAATGAGTGCTTAGATCACCACGGCATAGTTAAACTCAATTCAATTCACCCATAAGCTAGAAATACTGAGAAAAAGTAAGCAGAATTGATTTGTTTGAATTCAATGAATTAATGAAAATAGGATGGTAAGAGACATAAAAATCTAAGCTCATTCAAAAGCGTATATGGGACCTTCTTTGATTTATATGTAGATAATGTCAGTACAACAGTTGAATACAATAAGGTATCTATTTTGATAATTGACGTAAATCTATCAAGCTTATACAAAAGTAGAAGCGAGTTATATCTCAGACTGCCTCTTTCGACGTTTCTGCCTACATGACCATTACAATGAGATCAACATAAAAGCTATCAACTCAGAACACTTGGAAGATATCACTTCCAAATAATAGTACTAATCATAATAATCTAGTCAGCATGAATATGATGGTTTGATTTTGATCTGCCGGAATGAAACAAATAATGGTGATTTGCCTCAAAATGTTGACTAATTTAGAACATCTTACATAAATACATGAACGCTACTCACTAGACAGATGTGCGAGATTGTATACGTTAGTTTTTCGACATAATTACTCTGCAAAGATTCCCACATATGCACTACATAATCACAAAGTAGGAAGTTTTATAATTTCTCCTGACAGTTGGTAGATACACTCAAGACTCTATCTAGCATGATAAAAGTCTTCTAAACATAATCACCACCAGCAGTATACAATACGAAAGTGAAGGACAACAAGAAACTGTGTTTACTTTATATACACTACTTTGATCAATAAGATAGATGTTGCTGCAATAGGCAGTTAGAAAGTGATGTCATACCGTACCGTGTTCTTTAGTCAGTCGATGAGGTTGTGAATACTCATCAACTGAGGTGGGGTAGAAATGTGTTGCGTATGCCCAGACACCACCTGCCTTGACACGCAATGTCCATCGTAATAGGACTAAGTTGGAAGAAAGCTAAAGGTGGTCAGACCAAACCATGACACCAGCTTATGCAGTTTTTGACTAATGGTCTCAGCTATGTAGAATGTTTGTCTGACATCCTCGAGATGAGAAGAAACAACGGTTGGAGAACCTTGACAACATGGTTGAAAATTGGTCATCTTCCAAGTCTTAAGCATTTCTATCAGTCGTCACCTGTCAATTTCCCCTCTCTCTCAGGCGCTTTTATCTACTTTGCTTTCGGTTTTTTTCGATTAATTTTTTCTTTTTATGCTGCTTTGAATTGTAGCAACTCGAACTAATGCGCTTCTGTACCAGGTTCGAAGTTGATTTATCTACCTATCTACATAAGTTCCCATGTTAGTTATCATACTCCAACGACGTAATATGTGAGTTTGAACTGCAAGATTTTCCATCTAGCTTGTAGACAACACACCAAATTTTATGAGATGAAACATCAAAGATAGAGGTCACACAAGGAGTTTTGCCGACTGACTAAAAAAATATTTTACATTTTATTCTTCCGTTTATCTATTTGTTAAGAAATCATGCTTACATTAACTAACTGAGGATCAGGTTCATGGACAATGTGATTTTGGTTAAACATGCTTAAACTAATAGTACAGTAACTAGCCTCAAGACATCTTGTGCTTAGTTACGTAACAGATGAAGCGAGCTGAATTCAGGAACCTGGTTATAATAAAAGTAGTCACTTTTAATACGTAATACTAACCTTGGGAGATAGTATCGGTAGATAACAAGACAATGTTGCTTGGATTTTCTGCTTCAGTGCATGTTGCGTAGATGTGTCTAGTGTTTCGTAGAGGGATAGAATAGCCGGTAGTGCCATTTTCGCTCCACCACGCATAACTGTAACGGCTGAATCTGTTAGAATGTAGTAAAAATGAAGAATATATTAACCAATATGCTGAGTTTCAGGTGAACAACAAAATTAAAGATACTATGGCAAAAAATCAATGTTCTTATGAGGATTACTTTGAGAAGGATCATAATGACCAGCCACTGATTTGAGGAGTGTCTTGCTCTAGACACTGACGGTTTAATTAATCATGAATATGAGCACATATCCACATACAGTTTATTCTTTTGGTATTCATTCGATTGCGTATCGAGCAAAATCACCATTCGATCATAAGGATTACCAAGTATCAAACTGTGAGAAAGATATCCAATTCGGTCATTCACTCAAGTGTCAATCAGTCAGTAAGCATCAACATGGAACTTCGCATCAGCATATCAAAATGGAAGGTGCCAAGATGATAAGAAGTAACCATTGAGAATTGCAAGATGAGGGAGAAGTGTAGTATATGGGTGCATCTGCATCACACAGATTGATTCTGAGCAATACTACGTTGCGTTTCCCACTGTCATGCGGAACCCAACCTGGAAGTCTACATTCCACTACATGGTTCAGACTTACAGTCAAACTTTACGTACCGATGTTTCACTTTGGTCTTCTCTAACCTTCCTTCAGCGATCAGACTAAAACATGGTATCAGTCCCTGATGTTTTTGACTATTGGTCTAAGCCGTGCAGTGAAATGTAGACCTCGCAGATGGGGGCCGTGTAACAATAGAAAACAGTGGTTGAAGACTCTAGGTGGTATGGCTCGGAATTGATTTAATCTTAATCGTCATAGTGAATTCAAAAGTTACTTATTCTTCCTTCCTCTCTTTTGCTACTTCCTACTGCTTTTAACCGATTCTTCTTTATTTCTTTGCCATTTATCTAAGTGCTTTACAGCCTAATGTGCTGATATAAGGCGTGGCAACTTGAAGCGTTATGCAGTAATGCCTAGTCCTGTGTTGATATTGATTGATTTAATCAACTGACTGTAAATACCTCGGTAGGTAGAGGTGTTTGAACACGTGATTAAATTGGTTGAAATTTAGCTGCCTTAGCCAATGAGCCACGGCTGCATGTAAGTTAGGGTTACATCGAAAATTGTAATCTCTATTGAGGTAAATAAACTAATCACACTTAATGTCAGTAGAATATGCAATAGTACCAGTTGTGGAGAAATCAACTTGTTCTGAACTTCTCAACACAAATATCACTTAGCATGACAATAAAATCTTTGTGACTGGTTTGAAGCATCCAACCAAGAAAATACGAAATCATAAGGAAAATCAGCATAGAAGGAAATTTTTTCTATCATTACCGATACTTCAAACAATTCAGAAATTGAACTATTTCTAAAAAATGTGAGATGATGTAAGATACTTTAGAATCAACCAGTATCCTTCCCACTGGATCCAAAAACTTACCGTCATCAGCAGCTAATTTGGCTAGTCGGCGAAATGCATGCAGAATAACTGGTCTCAGTGCTGGAGCTGTATTCAGCTCTTTAACTAAACGACATCCCAGTCCACCAGTTGATAATTCTGACCAATCACAAGGACTACGATGTACAAACATTTTCAAAGAAGACCAAAGTTGGCAAGCTACTTTAATTCCTGAAGTTATTAATGCATTATTCGCAGGTCTCGATTTATCACTTAAAGCAGCTGTCGAACTAGCTACTAAAAGAGCTCTGTCAGCCAATGGGAGAATATGCTGGCGAAAGATGGATAGAGAACATGACTTCTGTGGGACTGCACGTGCCAGTAAAGGTAAAAACCAAGACCTTTGAAGATCAATTTTACCAACTTCCCTAAGAATGAAATAATTAAAAATAAGATAGTCAATGTATTAGATTAGCTACCTGAAATAAACGAACATGTCACATCTTTAAAGCTATTCATCACAATTCCCTTACGTTACTGAACTTTCTTGAATTTAAAGTTTGAAACACACTGACATTAAAAGAAGTTAATGCAGTAATCATTACTGGTGATAAGACGAGTGTATAGTCTTATAAACAGTTCACTAAACAATCCATCTTTATTGTTTCCTCACTAGCAACTGATAGCTAAAAAAAGTGGAGAATATCATCGAATTCAAAACAACTCACAACCAAAGATGATTTTATAAAGTGGTTTATATCTATATTCTCAGAGAGTAGGGTATAGTAATCAAAACTTCCTTCAACAACTGTTGTGTTACCTATGTTTTCATATCTCGTTATTTTTCGTAGGCGGATGGAATCCATAGTGAAAAATGCTTTCCTAACTCAGATAAGAACTCATTTCTACTGTACAGTAGGTTTGAAAGACAACTAACAAGTATCAGTCAACAAAAGATTATGAAGACTTATGTTCAGTTAAAAGGGCTTTTAAGTATTGAAGCGCACATAGTTTACCTCAGTGTAGCACGTCACCTAAAGTTTTTACTTTCCTAGACAAAGCAAATTGACATCAAATTTAGACATTTCAATTTAATATCCTAATATGATTCTCTGATTTACTAGAAGCTTAAGCAACATTATTTATTGATGTAAAAATCGGTCACAATGGTGCAGATGTATTCACTATATGACACTAAAAGATTGAATATTTTCAATAACCCTTATCTTCAAATTGTTTCTCTTATATACCTTTGTCTACTTTGATATTAGTTTTTTCTACGTTGTTTTTTGTATGGTACTGTGAAGTGTAGCAACTTGGACCGATGTACTTGAGTGTGACGTTCCACGTTGATTTTGTCTGTCTGGGTAACACCAGAAGTAGCATAAAAGTGGCTAAATATGTTTCTCAAAAATCAACACCATTTTACTGAATGAAAGCCCATAAACCTCTTGTACCTACTTCGATTGATTAAACGTCAACTGTTAGTCTTCATATTACTTATTTCGACGTCCCATCAAATGAGAACAAAGCGTTGAAAAGATATATAGTCGGATACCTTCAATCTCTACATTTTGGAGCTGAGACTCAATCAATCTAGGAGTTTCACTTCCAACTACTGTGTCACAGGTTTGAGCTTCTCTTCACTTCCTGACGTTTAGGCAGCCAAGTAGTATGATAACCCCTAACATAATGTCTGACTCATACCTTAGTGCACTAATCTGAATGTGGTTGCTGAGTTACATTCAATACTCTCATGTTACATAGTTTCGACAGTTACGTCTCAACTATATGGTAGGAAGTAGAAAAGTATCGCACTACATACTTTAACCTTGATAAGGAGTAAGATAACTTGCTGATATTACAGACAGTGTTAGACAGTGCACACAGATAGGGTTTCCCACAGATTAATTTAAGGTATTTCCCAAGTGTACTTTCGAAGACCATGTAAATCTTCAAATACAAAGAACTTACAACTCTCCAACAACTGTCTCCAAAGAAAATATATTTTCGGATGAAATAAATTCCGGACCCAAATACTCGACAGTTAGCAAGCAAACGCTATCCAGTCCATCAATAATCTTCTCACCTAGATCACCCAGTCCTATCAGAGAAAAATTCTTTGGATCAATGTGAATAAGATTGGTCAAGTTCTTCGGTCCATCAACTAGACAGTCACGTAGATGAATTACAACTTTCAGCAATTCCATCAATCCACTTAAATTTGCTGTAAGACAACTAGCAGACACTTTGGAAATAATCATTATAAATCGTCCAATAATACACAAAAGATGATGCCATATTTCATAATGTATATACTGAAGACCGTTTATAAAGCTAGACAAAATGTCAGGAATAAAGTTCGGTAGTAGTTCAGCAAGTTGACACGAAGCTAGTTGAGGATCCTGAAATTTAGAGAGAATAAGAAGATCAAAAATTACACTTAGGGTTATGAATTAAAAGCCAGATAGTCAAACCATCTCAAGTACTCCATATTTAAAAGCGATTTCACCCGTAAAACAACTTATATCTTCGGTGATGATAAAGAAGAACGCAAGTTAGTTATCATCGATGCAGAGTACTAAAATGGTTCAAGGTATATAGTAGACAGCTCTATCTTACTGTGGCTTTAAGCTTATTTTCAATTTCGGCGAAACTCACGCTCTTTATGAATTACTTAGTCGGTGGAGAAGGTAAATGCATTCCAACAATGGCAGTGGACTTCATGAACTTAAAGTATGAAGATTGATAAACTTACTTGTAGACTCTAGCTCCTATGAGATTCTAACCCTCTGGTTTGTTGACACTAAACAGGCAGATCGAAATCGGACTTGAACGACATAGTTTATAGCAAGAGCAAATAACTTGAGTTATGGATCACCACTAGGTTCATAGACTTGTGATAGAGTTGATGGCTAGATATAGGCACAGAGGCTGAATGTGAGTGATACACTGCTTTTTCATATGTACGTCATGGAGGAAAAATTGCAAACGACTAAAATAACAACTTTTGATTAATTTTCTTTCAAAACTATGTTTAAAACTTTAGTCCCCCAAGTGGTTATTAGTTTGCTGTATGTATTTTTAACTCATTTTATGGAATAAAGATTGCAAAAAATTATTGTATACCACCTCAAAACAGTTGGGCTATTAATTCTGATTTTACCCGGTTCATAGATTACCACAGAATTCTTCGTTTAGTGTTATCAGCAATGCATATCTGCCATCTTAAGAAAATTATGCTGCCTTACAGGTTTGAAGGTAAACTACTTGGTGTTGAAATGAAAACTCCAAGGCTAATACATCCAGATGATAGATGACTCTTCATAGGACATTTACTCAGAAGAATCGATCAATGGAATGTTGGTGATTCAAGTATCACGTTTTAATTGTTGATAGAAGTTCATCGACCAAGTATGCAATGTAATGACTAAATATATTTAGTTCGTCCAACTGATTGATGCAATATTTTGGGATAAACACAATGTGAAACTTAATATATATATATATATATATATATATATATATATATATATATATATATATATATATATATATATATATATATATGGTGAAATCCACACAAACTACGCAATGTATACATTGAATGCTAGATATCGGGTGTCGGTTAAAAATTCGTCAAATAAAGCATCTTAAAATTGCGTGATCAATGAAATGACTAACTTACTACAATTTCTATGAAAACTTGATTTAATTTCTGAGTAATTGCTTCTCTTAACTGTGGAAGAGGTGTTGTCGCCAGTAATGACATTAGTGTTTTAACTAAACGATCCAGGTGTTCATTAGCTAATTGTTGTATACTAAATCTTCCAACATTACCAATCTTCTGTTTCAATTCAATATCCTCGGTTTCCGTAGCCAATAATGACAAACCAGATAAATATGCACATCCTGAGATGAGAGCTTGAACCCATGAAATTACTGCGTCCACTCCAGTGCATGAAGTATTACTATCTACAGTAGATAATGTAAACACATTCGGATCGTTGGGTCGACATGAGTAGAGTGCAGTTAAAAGGCGTGCAGCGATATCAATCGGCAAAGTTTTCAATGATGGCTTTGAATCGAACAAAGTTTGGAAACTATGAAACATTTTGGTTACAACCTAGTGAATGTGAACGAAAAATTGAGGTATAGGTTAGAGGTGATTTTAACAAAAATGCTGTTTGTCGGAAACATGTTAAGGTTTTTTAAGTGGAGTACATAAGTGGAACATTTGACATAACAAACGAAAGTATATTTTTTTGACTGACCTAACAACTTTTCCGTTTCAGGAGAAACGGTGGCGGATATCAGACAGATAAAACAGAGAATAACCCCACACAGAAGTGTTTTAATGGGTGACACACTTCCCAGCATTACATGAAGGTAGAAGAAATGTGAACCGGAAGATATATGAATAAACAAGAAAAACTTGAACGGAGAAAAACATAAGTGGATCGTCATACGACATTCAAGACACTGACGATGTAAGGTGAATAAATGTGCACTATTGTTATCATTTCTGAGTTACTTCATTGAATTTTAAATCATTAATTTCGAATTTTTCAAAAGCTATAACCAATAAGCACTAATATGCCAAATGTCTTAGAACAACATTTAGCGACTACATTGCTTGACTTCATGACGTTTAGTATTTTCACAACTTAAATCTACTTCTACGAATGTTACACATAATGGTACAGCTTTGCATATGTAAGAAAGGATACATTCATCTCAGCTGGTGTAGATTCAGAAATCTGTCTTTTGATTAACTTGCCTGAAAGTTGGGTTAGTTGTCTGAATGATGTACTGCAGTAACGTAAACCTGACAGCTAAATCACTCAGCATTTTGTGTGTCTCTTCTGTAAGCCTATGAATGAAATCTTCCAAAGATAATTTCTTTTTTAAATTTTACCTCAATAAGCTTCAACAGCTGAAGACTGCCAATAATTTTATTAGTTTCATCACCTTCAGATGCTGACTATTATTTTTGAAAATCTCATTTTGTGTTTCAGATACTTACAATCATTGGGATTCGGTCCAGCAGATGAGTTTTATAAGAATAAATAGTTTAAACAAGATTCTTGAGATCTACCAGAGTCAGCCAACCGCCAAGTGAAAATTATTTACCGTTCTTGCTACTTTTTCAAATTAGGTTGAATATTACGTTAGGCATCATAATGAGAATTACTGTCGCACTTCAATAAGTGTCTAGCTGATTTCTTATGAAATATTTCAATCTACAGTCTGAACACAGGGAGAATACCAAAGGTGCATGCTTTACACCTGTTTAGATTGATACACGAGCATTCAGATCAATGAATAATCGGAACTCTAGAATGCGCTGCCAAAAAAGAGCAGTCTCCCACCAATAGAGACCGATGACAACATACAGCAATATGGTCTGTCTTTATTCATTTTTTAATCAAACGTCAACAGTTTTATACTTTCGCCTTATATCAACTGTTTAAGAGTCAACTACTTTACTTTTGGTATGTAACTGCATGTTTTATGTACCAGTTTATAAGACACTCAATGTGTGAGGCAGTATGATACTAGTCGGTTGTCCAGATTCAAGTGGGGCAGATTTTGAATATAAGGGCCATTGACTGCAAGTCTTGTTCATGTAAATGAGTCCCATCCCAGTATAATGCATACTGGGGTTCGAACTCTTTCATTATGATAAGATTACCCAAACATTGCGATGATGAGGATATCTCCTGAATCATTTGCTTATTTCTAAACTGAATGCTATTAGGATAGCGAGTCTTGAACTCCTAACGAAACAGTAGAATACAGCATACTTACCAAAGGATTTGGAAAATTCGCCATTTCAAGAATACATTCGTAGGTCAGCTTGACATCTTTGGAGGGTAAGAGAGGAATTACTGATGTCAGTAAATGTAAGCAGTGCAGCAAGCGAGTACAATGGACATCTTTTGTATGAAGTGAAGTTATAAGTTGCCTAGAAAACAGAAAACAGATCGACTGGAATTCAACCAACAGTTGACATATTCTTGCAGTTGTTAAACAATATAGCTGTTTGCAATACGATCACCTGGAAAAAAGATGCTGAGTTGGATCTTAATATAATGGTTTATTGTCATCTAATTTTAGACTTCTTGATGCGATAGCGACTGCCCCAGATGTATTGACCAAATAACGTTGGACTTTGTTCAATATCACTGTTCTGACAAAGTGGAAAATTCGGTTGAAGTTCGATGTAAAAGGTAACGTTACAGAAAATTATCAGCTCAGTTCCAGATGCTGATAACCTCAGAGAATTGATGGAAAAACAAATTATGAAAGCGAACGATGATAATCACTCTGCACTCAGTTGCTACACTAAAACCAAGAAACTCAAGCATAACCCAAGCGACCACACACTTATCTTTTCTACATGCTGACATGAAATCGATCCTGCCATTTCAGTACTACGGTTTTGAATATTACTGAAACCCATCCAAACATTTTGCAGAGCTCGGAAAGACAAGTAGGCATTTTCAAACAGCCAATTCTCCCAGTATCGTATTAGATTAACGGAGGTAAATTAACAGCCCCTGAACGTTGGCTTTTGATTTGTAGTAAACTAATGTTCAAAAATTTAAGACAAAAGTGGCAAAACGAATTCAGTAGAAACCAAGGAAAGTTTAACAGCTTCGCAGAATTCACCGGTTTTCATCATCATCATCATCATCATCATCAAGATTAGCATATGACCAGGCATTACTGCATAACGGTCCAAGTTACGACACCTCATATGGCTACACCAAGTAACAAGGCAATAAAATGGAAGATGAAGAAAGAAAAATCGGTCAAAGGAAGTAGAAGCAGAAAGTAGTAAAAAAGAAGGAAGAAGAAGGAGATAATGAGATTGAGTTTGATGATTAATGTGAGGGTAATGTTTGTATGGATCTGTGCCACTGACATCAGTTCTGAGTCATATCACCTTAAGTCTCCAAGCCCTGGTTTCTCTTGTCCCATGGACCCCGACTGGCTAGTCTGCATCGCCCTACATGACTCAAACCAACGGTCAAAGACTTAATGCATTGATGCCATATTTTGGCCTGGTTGCTCCGAGCCTTTTTTCAGCCTGAACCTACTTCGACCAACATTGTGCTACGAAGCAGACGGTGGTCAGGTAAACGTAACACATGTCCCAACTATCTCAGTCGGTGAAGGTTGACAACCATATCAACTGACTCACCTATCCTTCCTAAAACTTTACGTCTGACTTCTGTGTTACTCATGTGGTGACACCACGAAACACAACCTATGCTACGAATGCAGCGGCGGTCACTTGTTTTAATTGAAATTCGACAGTACAATATGACTCCTTTTTCTACAGGGATAAGAGATAAACAATAACAGTAAACGATATGACACCACAGGATTAAGGCTGTGTAAAATAGGTCAAATTAGTCATTCCCCTTCGATAACTTTTCGAAAACACTTACTGACTTTCAACTACGCTTATAATTTATGTCTAAAATTAACACCTGACCTTACGGATCGATTTCTGCAGTCAAATAGTGATTCTACCATTCTGATACGTTGCCCTGATGCAGACAAGTCTCTTCATGTAATAAGTAGTTTTGAATGCTAGATATAGACTTGATTCGAAACACTAGAACTGCGAAGTCGATTACGTCGACATCTGCATAAAGCCTTGGTCAAATAAGCTAAATTACTAGGTCAAGTGAAAAAAATGTGCATAATTGATGCGGTAGGTGTGGAACATCAGAACGAAAAAATTTGAATTTACTCAGCAACCTTCAGCAAATCTGCATAGTAGGCAATGAGACACACCTATTGCATGAGAGCAGTTTATACTACCCAGCTGCCCAAACCTAGGTAGGTGGGGTTGGGTTCGAACCCGTGGCTTGGCTAGGATTATTGTCCAGACTGATGGACCATAGCTTATGGTTGGTGATGATAACCTCAAGTATGAATTGAGACGAACAAATAATGTTAGAGCTAGATATCCAAATAAGCCTAAGTCAAAGAAATTTACGATATTTTAACAATCACTATACAAAGGTTCAAAACTGATTACGGTAGAATTGCATCGACTCATTTGTTTTGTAGAATTGCTTTGGCATCATTTGCTTCTACTGGCTAAGCATTATCACTCAAAACTAGCTGTAGCAAGTAACTTCGAGTAACCTTGGAGAAATACACAACATTTAGTGGTTGTTAGGTGAATTAATGGGAAGTTACGGAAAAATTCGGACTACAGGGCAGCAAGTGGTAGGCCTTTGCGTGTTTGTAGGCACTTAACATTTTTTCAGAAAACTTTCTAACCATCAACAAAACTTCGCTGAAATAGCTTGCTCAGGTAGCACCGCAAAATAAACGCCACTGATCGGAAGACGTGACGTATGTGCTCACATTTCAGTTCCTACAAACCACTAGGAGGTAAGTTAGGCAACAAAATTACGCGAAATTCAGTGTAATTTAACTAAAAACAAAGGCGACATTTTGGTACCCCATTGACAGAATTTTGTAAATAGATTGTGATATGACAGGAGGAAAAATTTAAGTGTCCAGAGATAACATACCTCAGCTCCTGGCGAATAACAGAACAAAGATGCTCTTGAGTTTGATGGCATGCGGGATGGAAGTTAATTTCCTCCGTTATACTAAACATGTTGAAAGAACCCAATATGTCTATGATTGCTAAGTGGCTTGACTTGCGAATACTGGGCTTTTCGCTGTCAACAAAACGCAATACATGGCGGTATACATGTCGAATAGAGTCAGTAGACCATGAGTCGTAAGACTGAGCACGCAGAAGTCTACCTAGGCAAGTTATAACCTACGAGTTAAATTATGAAAATCAGCAGGTTACAGATTTAGTTAGTGAAGAGTTTGTAGAGTCACTTCCAGAATTCAATAATCCCATCAATGTTTTAGCCGCTTCTGCACACGTTTTTCGTAACAAAGAATCTTGAATACTAAAAGCAGTCAGTTATACGACAAACTTACGCTTTGCACATAATTAATTTAAGTAAATAGGCAGCAGCGACCTTTTCTGGGCACTCATTCAAAAGGGTCAACTAATATGGTCCAACATTAGTTACTTATCACATCAAAAATACCAGGACAGCGTAATATTCAGAGGGCGATTCCTTTCCTCCATTGTCCTTTATCGTCTTTGTAACAGCTGCAAGGACTGCTAATACATCTTTTTGCATACATTTATTAGACCATGTACGATTTAGAGCATTTCTGAATGCTGGGTTCGAACATTTAGTAGTATTTGATGCCCAAGATGCAAATGAAACCTCTGATATCGACGAGGCCATGTGCGTACATGAGTTGGGCGCGAAATTGGCATCCTTGCCCGTTAGTGCATACAAAGGGTAAACCTACGGTTTTAAGTGAATTTTTATAGTGACATCTTATACCAGATAAGTGAAAGATTAGGTGTTCCAAAACTTTAATGTAGTTAGGCTACAAGTATTAAGCTTATTATTTTTCAGGGTCGACCTTTGGCAAACCAACTTAAGGATGAAGTTTTAGCTTGTTTTCATGTCTTAGAAATAGCTAACGAGGGTTCATTAGTTCTGCGCTTGTGTCGCTGGGATATTCTCTTTGCTCAGAATTTCCTGGCCTCGAAAAATCCGAAAGAATAGGGATTGTCATCTATTCTGATTGTGCGGCTACGCGCAGACCATTAGACGACGGAAAATCGCTTGACTGCAGTCCATTTTTACCACGGGACTAAGAGTGAATGGTCAGCCTCCTTTTGTAAGCGTCAGTAGAAGTGGCTGTAACAACTTCAGGAAGGGACCTTCAGTATTCCTGCATGCGTATTTGTCCCTTGCTGATCGAATCAAAAGACGAGAAATAGAGTGGGAATTGAAATGCAGCTTAGTAACGCATCGGAAAGACCTAAAAATCGTGAGCTTTCGTGTAGTGAAGCTTCAGACATGGCAAGTCCTAAAGCCTCTACGGGTAGGATGAAAAATCACTTCAGTGGTTTTATTGCGCACGTAAATGCACATAGTCTCTTTAACAAGTAAACTGAGCTGAGAAGTGTAAAAGGTACAGAATACCCTGATATTACTGCCATCTCAAAAACCTTACTGTCTTCTGAGATCAATGACGATGAAGCACATTTACTAGGATTCGGTGTTTTTAGGGGTAGTAGGCTAAGATGCAGGAGTGGCGGCGTTCTCCTTTGTGTAAGGACCAGAGAAACGATTGAGTGTGAAAGTAGGACACTTGAAATGCCGCGTTGCTGACTAAGGTGTGAGGGACAAAATTTTACTCTAATCGCAGTTAATCGAGGTTCCGAATGTGGAGCAAAAGCCTTCCTCCTGAACTGGCTGATACTCTGGAGATGCCTAGTTATAGAAGTCTTAAGCGGACCATCAGTTAATTGGGACAAACTAACAACAGACGCATGATCTAATTCATTTGATCGCAGCTCAGTTGAAACGTCAGAGTCCCTGGCAATTATATGGCAAATCAGGACAGCAGCCAGATATGATCATCAGCATACCATCTCAGCCTTAGGCACAGTACTGTAGCACACAGACGATGTGTGCTCCGTACGGCATCCTAAACATCTTAGTAGAACCGATCACGCTGTAGTGGTCCCCAGATATACAGCAGCCTTTTAACGCCAGACCTATGTCCCAGCTCGACCTGATGCATGGAAAGCGAATACGGAAGCCGTTAACTTTGCAACCCCCTCGGAGGGAAGGATAATTTAGAAGCTCCGGCCATAACGGAAAAAATGATCTGGAAATCCCTTACGATTACCCTGTCCGACAGCATTGACACTTATTTGAACATATTTGCCCTCGTCAGGGGTGCTGTTCTTTGATCCCAGCTGGTGTAGTGCTATTTTGTTGGTTGACTGTCTTTTCTGACTTCACACTCATTGCGTGTCTCCATTTTGACTGAAAATTGTCCTCACTGCTTGACTTTATTATTGTATGGTACTGGACTGTTGACAACATGACGTTCTTTTGCTGTGCCCGATATCACATTTTCGGCCCAACTTATGGTTGTGCTGCGATTTGACTGCTTGTCATTTGACTGGCTACTAGAAATGTTTTTCCATTCTCAGGTACTTAACAGCTGTATTCGTTTGACCAATTTTTATTGTATAGTACGCACTTGTGCTCGAGAACGTTTACATTGTATTTTTACCCAACGGCACTGTTGAGGCGTTTTTGTAACTTTGGTATAACTTATTGTTGTTTTGATGGCACCACAGATTTTGTTACGAATCCACCACTGATTTACTTTAAGCCACGTTATTGATATTTTTGATCCAACCTTTGACCGTGCATCACCTGCGAAGGCTTGGAAGCTATAGAGCAGAACGCAGGAACTTGTCTGGATCGTGTTAGTTTGGTACTGCCGAGTCGGTTCCAGCCTTCAGACCAAAATAATTGGTTTCGGTTGTTGGACCAACTGAAGCCGCACGGCGTTTCTTCACATAGTGACATGTTCAAGTGACTCACTCTTTCATTTCATGGACTGTTTTGAAGGGACAGAAACACTACACGGCAGAATCCAAATGTTGGAGTCTCCCCACCTTAGCATTCCCGAGGTGAAATGGAATTACAAAGAAGCCCGAAATAAACGTATTCCCACTATCTGCTGGCTTCGAATACGCCTTAGAAAACATGTCTCCCAGGCTGCCCTGCAACACCCGAAGAGGTTATTTGCGTATGTAGTCACAGACACAGAAACCAACCATCTAATTGAAGACGATAGGCAAAAGCGGAGGCTTCGGCCAGATACTTTGCTGTTATCTTTAACTGGAAACCTTCTACGGACACTGGTTCAACGGTAGGAGAATTGACGTCCACCACGATAAACTGCGGGCATCGACCGCAATTACGTATTCAAGACATGAAGTGCACTGGACATCTCAAATCCAACGGATCCGTCTGAGCTGTTCACAAGGCTGTTCAGAAAGCTCGCACTCTGTGTAGCTGGTTCACTGACTACTATATTCGGACTGCTCCTGAGTGGGTGCCCTCTCTACGACTGAGAGGTCACACCTATCTGAGAGGTAGGTTATAAGCGGGACCCACCAAATTGCAAACCGACAAATTGGACTGGTACCATTGTAAAAATCCTAGAAGGAGCAATAAGAAAGCCATTATAATCCCCTCAGGCAGCGACACTGTATCGTCTCAATCCCAGAGTGGCTTTCTCAGAAATGTTTTAGCTTGGCGAATCTTTCTACAGTAAGAGAAAGTTGATTCAAGTCTAAGGATGATAGAATACCCACAAGTGTCACTTACATAGGCTTCGGAAAGGCCTATCTCACTCCACATTGCTCGAGAAACTGGTAAGTTCCGGAATCGCTGGTAATCTACTCGCATAGATCGGAGACTTCATTGCATGTGGGAGATGAAGATCAGGGATCGATCCCCAACTCTCCTCCTGAAAGTCGACGTAGGGCAGAGTGACGCAAAGCATAGTCCTAGGTCCCCTATCATTTCTCCTAAATGGGCTGCTGAGTATCATGAAATTCTCACTGGTTCCAAACGCTGATGGTTTATAGTTCCACCGAGAAATTAGGGGGCACGAGGATGCAGGTGCTCCTTAGACAGACCTAGAAAGCTCGTTAACCTAATCCAAGAAATGGCTAGCGACTATCAACTCAGACAATTGTATAGGATTACACATATAGCACACAGATGGCAAAACCCACCATATTGGTAGGGTTTCCTCTACCCTCGGTGCTGACCCACAGTGACCTAGAAGTCGCAGCAAGTAATGGCTTAAAGACCACGGCGACTTGTCAGCTGGTCGCAGACCCGAGTTTTAGGGCACTTTTGGCATCATGAGGGAAGTTTACGCACACCAACCTATGTCCATCCTTATTTACGTCTGATGTAGAGGACCGCATGCGGGAGCAGGATCTGCCCATTGTCCCGGATCTCCTTACTTTATCCTGTTGGAGACAAAGTGGAGATCCAATCATGATATACGGGACTCTAAGAAATGACTCGACTTGATTCGTCTTCCCCTTTCCGTCGTACCGGGTCGGGGCTTCTCAGAGGACATAGAAGGAGCACAGAAAAGCAAAGGACGAATGTAGTCTATGTACAGTACTGATTCTTGAGTCGGGTAGTCAACTCCTGGAGCAGACTCCTAAAAACTGATCTCCGTGCCATCAACTGACTTGTTCAAAAGAGGACCGGATAGACAAAGAAATCTACCGAAGAGGATTCATATCAACCCAGCCCTCCATCCCCAAACAAAAAATCTGAATCCGTCTGCAGTTACTGTCTGAAAATGGGAAAACAAAGATTTTCGCATATGCTCACTCATGCTTGGCTTCCAATAGATGGCTTCGAAAGTAATTCTTCTGTTGATAGACTAGGAAGGATCTGCAAGGACGAAGGGGATTGCTGGTGACCTGATACCTCATGACTGCGTTCCTTCTGATCTGCTTCCATCGTACAGGATGCTGCTCGCGAATGACTAAGCGATCCAGACAGGGTTTGTACTGCAGACCGACCGCTCTTTGGCCGCTTCTCTCTAAATGCCTTCCAGAATAAAAGTGTCCTTCTTCAAGGACGGGGAGGTTTTCCTCGAGCTTGGACTGATATACGTTACCCTTAGCGTGTGGATAAAGTTAGTATTAGCTCCCTAAAGTTTGGGGAGGAAATGCTGAAACCGCATCATTCTCTCTCTTTGCAAGGTGACGGCGGACAGAAGCTCGGAATGTGTGACTGGGATTATCCTTAAATCTCTTTCACTACATGAACTGGAGACGTTTATTTCCCTCTTAGGTGTTAAGGGGTAGAATCGAAGCCGGGCTTGACGTTATAGCTTCCAGCTTCGTCTCTGTGTGGGCTGGTCAGTCACTTTCAACACAGGGTTTCCTGAGGGATGTCTCGATATCTGGAGGAGATCGATGACAGAGAGAAGTGGAATCTACGGGGTACAGCTCGCATTACCTGAAGTTCGTCAGTCGGATTTACTGGCCTCCTCGTGAGTGGTTTTCTCCCTGGCATCTGCGACTTCAATCACTAAGGCGTTATCCTCTAGTTCACCACGCCAAAACAGACAATCGTTGAGTCACAGCTTGAAACTACACCCGGTATTTTCTTGTCACTGATTCCATGGAACTGATATGCAGCCATTGGCGCGTGGGCTCTCATTTTTTGGCTCTCTCATCGACGACTTGCAATTCATCAGCAAAATATCATCGCTGGTTCTTGTCACGAATTTGGTCGGCAATCTTAGCAATAGCCCCACATTCATGGACCCCATGCACAACAACTGAAGCTAATTTCCTTGCTATAACGGAGGTGCCAGGTCAAAGTCCGTTGTCCGACAGTTTTGACCTCGC